AAGCATCCCTAGCTCATCAGTGGTCCATCCATTATGCTAGTCCCAATTGCCCAGCCCTTTGGTAGATCTGGATACCAATTAGATTGGTGATTCTTGCCAGCAAAGATGATCATTGGGGGCAGGGCCCAGCCAGCTGCATTGATTGCCTCAATCACAGTCACCCATTCTCGATTCCCTGGTTGTATTGCTTTAGGCCGGCCCCTAGATTCAGAGCCAGTAACAACTTTGCTGTTGATATCATGCCCATTGAAAAGCCAGTCTCATCAAAGTTGTAGATATCCTGTTTAGTAATGCCATATTTTTGTACAGCCTCAAGAACACGCTGAAACCACTCTTTAATAAGCTTTGGATCCTCACATAGAGCCCGTTGATGATCATGTCTGCGGCTATATTTGGATTTGAGCTCATGGTGGCGATTGATAAATCTTCGGACCCAACACTGGCCAACAGTAGCTGGTGCATTTAACCGGCTAGATAGTAATAGACTGGCCATATCTCGTACAATGGTGATTCGTGGTGGTAGTCCCTGTTGGTCCATAGATAATATCCATTTGACAAGCATAGATTCTTCAGTGGTAGTGAGCTTTTTGCTGTTTGGTGTTGCATCTACGCGTGCAGTACGCCCGCGTAGGCGGTGGTAGAGTGTTGGATGTGGCACATTATATGCCTGTGCAGCAGCCTGTATGCTTTTAAATTGACCATCATTGAAAGCTTTAATTGCAAGCAAGATACGGCCCTCTTGATGAACTGCTGAATCTGCTGTTTTGCGTGGCATTTTGGTGGTTGAAGTTGATGAGCGCGTCGCGTAGTTTGGTGGGGTGTTTCGCTCGGTGATCTGTTTCGCTCGATGATTGATTACGTTAACCATTTAATAAACCGCCCTATTGCGAGGTCCGGAGGATTAGCTACTTTTAGGTAAACAGGTAGTTTACCTATCTAGTTAAGGAGTGACCAGATTAGCGCACCTAGTCAACCTCCTAGGTCCCTGTTTTGTTTAATACGGAACTAATTGACCAGCTAAACTAATAATTTCGTGGTTTAACTACGTTTTTGATCTGTGCTGTAACTGTTGTTGCATCCCTGGAACAGTGGAAAATAATAACTTTTCTTGCAACCCAAGTGCTACGGACAGTGAAACATGATTGACCGTGATGTCAATGGAGAATGGCCGGGAAAAGAGGCTCCACGAGGCTGAAGCAGGGGTAACCCTGGATATAAAGCCAATTACCCCGTACTTGTTACACAGTGTTCCCATTCCAATCGGGTTTCGAGTTAGTTGACACAAAGAATCCATCGCTTTTGCTTAAAAAAACAAATAAAGAACATGGTTTCCATTAAAGTATCGGACATGAATGTGTTCCTGGGGAAAATCCCGTCTATGCAGACCGCACATGCCTCCAGTGGAAGGTCACTATATAACATGATGCAGCCAAGAATAAGAGACAAGAGATCTCAAAACGGAATCCCTCATATCGGACATGCAATAATATACACATCGAAGTGATGCAGAACAAGTGCACGGTGGGGGGTTTGGGGGGGGGGGAAAGGGCATCGCCGTCATATGCTTGGTTGCGATGGTCTCCATCTTCAAGGAGGGAAATGAAAGGAAGCCATTATTAAATAAGGCGGAGGTATCAATCCAACCAAGCGTTATGTCAAACATATCAACAAAAACTCTTCCACAAAAAGAGACGCCAATCTATGTTTTTTTTTCTTCTCGAATCACTCCGTCTTTCAACACGCTCCGGAAGGCAAAACCGTGATTCGATTATTTCTGCTGTATGCTTCTCTGCTCATTTCGCAGACGTCATGGCAAGTTTTTCGGCAGTGCTCTTTGCAGCGCCCACCGCGGACGACACCGGTGTCGCGGACCGTGTAGGGACCGCGCTCCGATTGTGCGCCATATGTGCCCTGACCAGGTGACCGGCAGCGAGGGCGGAGCACAGACTGAGTTCACCAGCAAGAACTGCCGCGGCCACGATACGGGCCAGCTGGCGGGCGTTGTCGCCGGGATTCGTGGGATGAGAGCCGCGCACCCCGAGCATCTCGAGCACCGCAGACTGCGCTTCCAGGATCGTACCGCCACCGATTGTGCCGACTTCAATGGATGGCATCGACACGGAGATATGGAGATTACCATTAACACTATAGACACATCATCAGTCAGCGGGATCATACCCCCCGGCAGAAATGGAACAAAGAGCGATCATCACTTACTTCTTCATGATCGTAATACAGTTGCTGCTTTCAACATTCTGTGCGGGATCCTGCCCCGTCGCCAAGAAGATAGCGGTAACAATGTTAGATGCGTGGGCGTTGAAACCGCCGACACTGCCAGCCATGGCGCTGCCGATGAGATTCTTGCTCGTGTTGAGTTCAACCAGGGCATTGACATCGCTCTTGAGAACGGACTTGACCACATCACCGGGGATGACAGCCTCTGCGACCACCGACTTGCCTCGGCCGTCAATCCAATTGATAGCAGCCGCCTTCTTGTCCGTGCAGTAATTGCCCGACACGGAGATCGTCGCCATATCTTCAAATCCACATTCGGTAGCCATCACATGAAGCGCTTTTTCAACACCCTTCGAGATCATGTTCATGCCCATGGCATCGCCCGTCGTGGTCTTGAATCGAATGTAAAGATACGTGCCAGCAAGCGCAGTCTTCAAGGACTGGAGACGGGCAAAACGACTGGTCGAGTTGAACGCGTCCGTGAGAATTCTCTTCCCTTCCTCTGAATCAACCCAGTTCTTCGCCTCGGCGGCTCGGGCAAGCGTCGGGAATCCTACACAGGGACCACGGGTCATGCCGTCACCATGGAGAACAGTAACAGCACCGCCTCCCGCATTGATAGCCTTGCATCCACGACTCGTACTCGCCACCAGCACACCTTCGGTAGTAGCCATGGGGATGAAATAACTCTGTCCGTCGATGACAAGAGGACCAGCCACACCCAGCGGCAAAGGAAGATATCCAATAACGTTCTCACAGCAGGCTCCGTGGACGAGGGTGTAGTTGTAGTCCTTGTACGGAACCTTCGATGTTTCCAAAGTACTCGTGACAGCAGACGTAGCAGGGGTCCTCGAAACGACAGCTCTGCGAATCTTGACTGCTCTCGTGAAGGCCTCCAGACGGCTCATGATGGGTTGGTCCGTCATGGTCTTTTCAAGGGCATACCCTGGAATCTTTCCCCGTAGTGAGAGCTCGATGAGTTCCTCGTCGTTCAAGAGTGACGCTTTCCCTTCTTTCAGCATGGCCTCACACTCTTCCTTGGTCCTCCGGGTTCCATCATCCTTGTATTCAACCTTTGCAACCTCCGGCTTGGGTTCCTCGACAGGAGCCTTCGCAACCGAACTCGCTGCTTCAGGCTCCTTGATGCTCCATCGTGCAGCATTGAACAGATACCCGTTCAGGACGATGCTTAGCGTCAAGGCTGCGATGATCCACTTGCTGATGACGGGGTCCTCGACACTCTTCAGGAGACTTTCAAGAACTCTACCGCCCACAGCGTCCAGAAGTTGGTCGGTGTATTCAATGTCAAAGCTTCCACGGTTGTCCGGCTGAGCGTAATGTACCGAGGGGTATTCCAGTTTGTACTTAATCGGCGGAAGAACAGTCACCACGGTCTCAAGCTTGTTGCTCTTTGCGGTCACGTAAATGGAATCAAGACCGTTTTCAGCAACCTTGAAAGGATCAATCGGGGTCGCAGCAAACATCCGAGACAGGACAGGGAAGCTCTCACCCCGAGCCGGGTTTCGGAAGGGGATGGTAGACAGATTGACGACGTTCACCAGAGCAAATCCACCGACCATGAGCATCTTGAACTTGGACACACTACTAGCCTTGATTTTCTTCCCGAAAACACTGGTGTCGTTGTTCTTGCTGCTATCCGAACCCATCTGCGGCCAGTCGTTGCTTGAAGCCACGTTTTCCGCGACATGACGAGACACACCATCCTCCTCCAGAGCCTTTCGCAGTGCAACATGGCGCTTAATGCGAGTGATTTCGAGCTTGATGCAGAGAATAGTGGTGTAAAAGGTGAACAGCAGGACGCAGTCGAAGAACAAGATCCACGCGGCGAGGAAGCAGAACTGCCGAAGTCCACCTTGGACCCCAGATGCAGCTCCGGCCACCAGGATACCAATCTCAATGCAGTAATCTCGGACAATGCCAAAGCCTTCTTCTTTAATGGCGAGCTCGATCGAGTCCTGAATCGACTTAGGCGAATTGGGGACGTTGCTGTTACCAGCGTTACGTCTATTGGCACCACCAGCTTGGCGTTTGGCATTAGTTGAAGCGGACAGTACTGCCTTTGTCAAAATGGTGGGCTTTTCGAAACCAACTGTCACAACAAGGAAAGGCAGTCCCTCCGAGAGTAGCAGCATGTTGATCGGAACACCAAGCTTCGTAGTGACCAGAAGACCAAACAGGAACGCAAAGACACTTGACAAGAGAACCGACGTTGCTAGCCAAAATTTTGAACCCAAACGTCTCATGGAAATGAAAAGTGACACAAATGTCAGGTGCATCGAAATGTATCCTAGGGTCATAATCGCGATGTCGATGGTTTCCGCATGCTAGGACATGTTAGAACGCTGACGGGTAAAGATAATACAGCTAATAGTGCCTACCTTGATCAGATCAACAAAGGAACTCCAGGCATCTGATAGCCAGATCTTCAGGGCCCTACGAGAACCAGCCCCACGAGCTGCCCTCATGATCCATTTTCTCTGCTCCGTCGCGTCCTCCTCGGCGGTTGGATCGGAGATCTCTTGGACTGCCTTGAGGAAATTGGGCAGATTATCAAAGGGAACGGTAAACGCCAATGACGAATCGTGCGAGAAAGGAGAGAAAAGATTGGGGGTGTGAGGGACCGGGCGAGCAGAAATGTTTTCCGGGATAGGAATGTCATCGAGCAACGGCGCAGTGGAGGTGGATTTCCAGGATGAGTCGGGGAAAATGAAAGTCGTAAGTGCTAGGTGCTGCGCAACTTGCTGTTTTCATTCTCAGTAATCTGGAGAGAACCCTTATGGTGGGAAAGGTCTTGATGCTCACCTCACTATCCTCGTAAGTCAACTTATCTTCCACCTGCCATCGCCATGAAGTACGCTCCCCCAGACGAAGGTTTCTACTTCCGTAGAGAAGAGAGTTGACATCCAATTGATTGGTAGCATCTCCTGAGCTGCGGAATGCGTCGAAGAGACTGCCCTCGAGGAGTCCAACATAGGTCGTACTGGCAAGCAGCGCAATTACGACGATGGTATGGATTGGATGCACGCATGCGCGACGGGACACTGATTGCAGCACGGCGGTCACTTGACGCCTCAGCCAGCTAGGTTCGGCATCGTTGTCCAAGCCCGTGGGGCGAAACCTCTGCGGAATCAAAGAAGTAGCCATCGCATCAGATTTCGCGGATAGGCGGTGTAGGCTGATAGGTTATGGAGTCTCAGGGCCACTTGTGGAATACCACAGGTGATCGTAAGACAGAGAGGATAGGTACTAATCAGAGTGCCTTTCAATTTGCCGAATTGCTGGCAAACATTGGATGGGATGACCGTGCCGAATCGTGGTTGAAACGATCTGTGGACGGGAAAGGAGTCAGGTATAGCGTCTTGGGGAGTCATCAACTGCAACACGTACTATGACAGATTATAGCACGGTCTGAGCAATCTTCTTACTGCAGGATAATGCAGCGAAAAGTACTGCCGTCCCAGCAGAACTCTCCCTCCGGATTTCTCGACAATTGTTGAACGAACAGCCAGGGGGGGAACCCGACAGTCTCAAAAGAAGCGGGTTCGCAACCGCACGGACGGAGCAGATTGCCACAAGAAATCCGATAAAGACAGAGCAGCGGCTCGAGTTCGAGGCAAGAAGAAGAAGAATGACGTTGGCAGACGTCAATGAGAATTGGCTTTTCTTCTCTCCCTGACAGAGCTGCTCGCCGCTCGCCAAAATTGTTCAGAGAGCTGCTCTAGGGGCGGTGGGAAGAGCGGCAATGTGACTGCGTCGTTAGCTCGACGTCGGAGCCCCGAGCGCATTCGCTAGATAAGCCCGGCGCTATGCCCAGCAAGGCTCACCGCCCACGGCAGCCCCAACAAGCCGAGAAACAGCACCGACAGCGATCGGACAGCGATCGGACAGCCGACCTATTCAAGAACAAAGTAAACAGGCAAAAAAATATAGAACTTCTCAACCCATTATCAGCTGTCGTGTTTTGTAGGTTGGCTGACTGCAAGCATGCCTCTTCTTTTATGGAACTAGTAGGTCAGAAATAATATGGCCTTGATGTCAATGCAGAATATCGCTGTTGAATCATACTGCCAGGCACACAGGCACATGCCTTTTGCCACCCTCACATAAGGTGTGTTCGTAACGTTCTCTTTCATGCAATGGGGGTGACTCGATCGAGATGGGGCCTTATGCGGGGAAATCAGTCACAGCCAATATGACAACAGAAGCCACCACCTTCTCTGTCTGGCTACATGTATTCAGCTGTACGTATAGAGGCAGCCGTACGTCTCACAACCCTCAGAAATAATAGCAGGGGGTAGGACAGTTGCAAATCCAGACCCCAACATCCCAAATATATTCAGCTTGGCAGTCTTTATGATCATGTGGAAATATGTCGTTGGACATCACTGACCCATAAACTCTAGTGTTGTGATGACTTGGTCCAACATCCTTTGAAGAGTGCCAATTCTGATATCTGGAAGAATTGCAACTAGATCCCTCTGTTAAAACGGAAAATTTTTTTTTCGTGAAAATTGCCAGTCTGACCAAATTACGAAAATTGCATAAGCATGCTGCACATGTTCGCAAGGGAAACAACGAAGATTATGGCAAAGAATTACAGGTGGGAAGCCCGCCTGAGAAAGAGATAATAAAAACTACCCAATCTAGTAGGTAGACGTGGGTCCAACAAGCTGGCATAGACCAGCTATTTTCTCTTCGAATCAGTCGAGCGAAGCGAGACTTGTAAGGTGTGTCACCAACATGAGATATATATCTCGATGACTCAAGCTAGTGATGTACAAGTAACTCAGTCGTGACACCAAACCACCCTGCGCTCTTTTCAATCACACAAGTTCCGCAGAAAGAACATATTCTCACCTATATGTTGACTACGACAGATGGTTGTCATAAAAGTTTACAATGAGAACTCATCCGAAGTCACGGTTGTCGAAGTAGCAAGCTGGGATGGTCAGGTAAGACAGTGGAAGCCATATCACCTACAAGTTATAGAAACACCCAAGGTAAAAAAAAAGTTTCTCTAGAACAGGCCCGGCGGCCTGGATGTCGAGGTGAAACGAGCGCAAAAGCTGCCCGACCAGCGGAGTGGCTAATATCGCTCGTCCTCGTTTGCGCGCGGCAACGCCGTTTCGGACCATTAAAGAATTAGCCAATCAGTCGCACTGCTCGATATCCAATCATTCGACTCTGCAACACGTGAAATTCTGGATGACGATTCCTAGCACGTTGATTCTAGTCATTCACTCAAAGAAATCGCATCAGAGTAGCGCTGCAGTCGGCACTGTAGTTATACTCATATACTCAGCGCTTGACAAGGAGTCCTTCAAGATATACGTAAATACGTGGAACCGTTGCTGATCCACTTGGACTGTGTTGCTATTGCACGAAGCAAGCCTATCATATTGCAACAGCTAAAGATGAAGAGCCCAAGATGTGGTGATCCAGTCGTGATGGATGAATTATGCCCGGCCACTGAATAATTACAGGATTGTGGCTCTGAAACAAGCATGCCATATCCATATCGTAAGGCTAAGAAGCATGTTCGAGGAGCAGCGTTGATAGGGCGATCGATTGGCTGGGCTTCTCCTGCTTCACTTACTTTGTGAACTTGACTTAGACGCTGCACTGGAAGCCAGTTGACTATGTTTTCTCCTTGGCATCCATGACATCATCAGGCGTTTCGAATGTCTATGATCAAGGGTAATTTCATCTTAATTAACCAGAGGCTGATTCACTTTATTCTCTAGACAGTTTGCCAACAATAGACAACATTCTATCAGGCACCAAGCTCCTACTTTGTCACTTTCTGGATGCCTTATATCATGGCAAGAGAAGAAAAAGGGACGCCAAAGTCTATCAATTATCTGTATTTCTCTCTTTCCTATTGATTGTTTGTTCAAATGCGGGCTTTCTTTCCCGTAAGTGACTGACTTACCCCGAGCATTTACGCTGCTAGCCATTGTCCGACCAAAACAATAGAATATAACAATGCTCATTGTTTCCGAATCTCCCTTGGACAGTGACAAAGCATCCGCACTGACACTTTCTTTTCGACACGCAGAAAAGGATTTATTTATCGGCTCCGGACTTCTGCTAGTCAGAATTCCTTGTTCTTTTCCTTCCCTTGCCAGACGATCATTGTTCTACGACTCAGATGCTGGACATCATGAGACGCAACATGCAAGCTTTGATAACGCTGCTCACCATATTTATCTCCACAGTTAGTGCCCACAGCTGGATCGAGCAGCTGATGGTGATTGCTCCAAATGGTACCTTCGTTGGAAAACCCGGGTATCCGCGTGGCTTCGTTCCTAGAGATGCAAAGGGATTCAGTGACACCGATATGACCTACCTGATTCCCCCAAATAATCAGGGAAATAACGATATCCTCCCTACGACCCCCATATGTTCGAGTAGTCAACGGACTCGGAATCAGACAGCAGGCTACCCAAGGCTCCAGGCGCCTCCCGGGGCTGCCGTCGCACTTCGATATCAGGAGAACGGCCATGTCACCCTCCCGCAGAATCAAATTGGAAAACCACCGAACAGAGGCACTGTCTATGTCTACGGCACGACAGACCCGCGCGAGAACGATACTCTCCTTGCCATTCACAAGGTGTGGAACGAAAATGGTACAGGTGGCGACGGGCGGGGGGTTCTCTTGTCAAAACAAAACTTCGACGATGGCCGTTGTTACCAGGTCAATGACGGTAGCATTTCCAAGTATCGCCAACAAGCATTCAACCACACACCAGACCCGTTGATGGGAACCAATCTATGGTGTCAACAGGATATTGCATTGCCGTCCGATGTGCCGACTGGCAGGCCCTATACCCTATACTGGGTTTGGGATTGGCCCAGCTGCCTTCTTGGAATCGAACAGGACTGAATGAGACTTATACAACCTGCATGGATATCGACATCACGGAGAGCGTTGGCGCCGAAACTTACACGAAGAATGGCTACATTGAGAGCCAGCCCCTCAACAATGCCGCAATTCCATCGGAGTTCGCTGAGCTTGTAAATTCTCGCAACGGATCCCCATCCCCCACGGCTTCTCCTGTCGGACCTGCAACGACGTCTGCATCTCCAGTGTCTTCGACGACCCCATGTCCATGTGCAAAATCGCCAAACCCTTCTACTGTCACCGTCACTACCACGCTGTACGAAGTTTTAATGCCGCAAATGGAGATCGAACTCGTATGGCCTACTCAAGGTTTGACGAGTACCTATCCGCAACCACCATTGACACTTGTCGCTCGTACTCAAACGGCTTCGACACACCGCTGTGAGAAGACTGCTGTCTCGCAGCAAGTACGGGATGCCTCTGACAAGGGAATCGGCATTCCGTACTGACAGTCACCACGGTTACATCCGACAAGCAGGCTTGTGAATCACATCTAGTCTGCAGCCTCACTCGAAGACATAGCGCCAATGGCCAAAGGAGTTAGGAGTCACCAATTTGCCTATCAAGTGGCTGAGACTAGGAGAGTTTGTGAAATCGAATTGAAACTTCTGTTCTTGTAAAATAAATAAATAGTCTTCGAAAAAAAACGTCCCTTGAATAGAAAATATGCTATTATGTATATTTATATATCCTCCCATGTAACCAGATAAGTATGCACATACACGTAGCAGACAAGAGAAAAGAAAGAAAGAAAGAAAGAAAGAAAGAAAGAAAAAAGACACCTAGGACATTGTCCAAGAAATACACGTCGTTTTCCTTCGTTTCAGACTAGGCGCCTGCTCCTCGCCTGTGTCTTGGGCTTCCAAGAGAAATATGTTATTATGATTACTACCGTCGCTCGTGTAGGTGGGAACGCTCGTCTCGGACCGCTCTACAATCGCCGGCAGCGACAGATCGCCCACGTCATCCAGTGAATATCGCTCCTGGGCGCCCTTGTTCAGCAGAATCCGGGAATAGCCCTCGCGCCTGCCGGCGGCGGCCGTGTTCAGAACACTCGCCACGCTGGACGATCGGATCTTGTCCGGAAGGCGAGACAGCGTCTGCAGATGCAGCTTGCCGTCCGCGCCCAGGGTCTGCAGCACGATGGCTCCCTCGTCCAGTTGCGTCAGTTTCGAGATCTGCGCGACCCCGTCGCGGTTGCGGCCGAAGGTCAAGGAATCCGTGTGCTTGACGGCGTTTTTTGGCCGATCCCTCTTGCAAAGAGAGACGAGATGTTCGAAGGTCCTCTTCCGCGCTTGCTGCTGCAATGCCGTGTTGGACCGGACAGGGAGGCGAACCTGACGATCATCATTATCCTGGATGGTGCGCGGTTGCCGCTGCTGCTCCTTCTCCTTCAAAAAGTCGTCGAGTTTGATGACGACAGGATCCCCCGTCTTGGAATCCTCGCCGTGGATATACTCCCCATCACTGATGAAGCCCAGTGAATCGAGGAGGCCATCGTGAATGACGTACAAATTACGAACCGGGAGATTGGTAAGATGCTTGCTGTCGTTCAGAGAACCCCCAAAGTGCCACAAGTATGTCTTGACGGGACCGGGATCAAGTCTCCCGGAGCATGGCGTCCGCGAAGGGATCAACGCATGGAAAGCTACAAGGGGAAGACGGGGATGAAAGACCGTCGCTCGGTCGAGGAAGGAGGCCGTGTATGCCGACACGACCTGCAAGTGCCACGACTCAAAACAGCCGTACGAGGGCCTGGGGTGTCCCGTGGCGAAGTTCACGTCGTGGAGAAACTGAAGGAGTCCTCCATGCACCAGTTCTCCGCAAGGCGAGTAAGAGTATCCCAATGTACGACGGAACACGGCGACGACGCGTCCAGAACCCCACAGTTTTAGCTGAAAGGAAGCATCGACGACAGGCTCCCTGTGAGACGGCAGTCTGCCGAAGACATCCAGGGTATTATACCAAACCTGTGCCAAACCGGGGCTGAGTCGGACGACCGAATTGAGAACAATCACCGCCTGGAGGTCATCTGCAATGGCCACCGGAAACCGAAAACCAGTCCACTTCCGCCAGCCAGGCAGTCCATTCGTAGCGTCTTCGAACAATGTCTTCAGTGCGGCGGGCTCGACATTCCACGTAATAGCGTCCAAGTGTTCATTCGGCTCGAGACTCCACAGATCATACCGAGCTTGCCAGCCAACAATATCGACCAGATAGTTCGAGTTCTCTGGAATTTCGAACATTGAGCTGGAAAAAAAAAAGAGGATGTATCAGCTCCGACGAGTCACACATTGTGAAGTGAGGACGGCACTGACCTTGGAGGGATCAATCGAATAGTGGCTAATTTTGTGGCATCAAGGGAGGCCTGACTTTTGATCAGAATATTCCTCTCCGAGGCTGCATGAATCCTTTCCGGACGCGCGATGGGGATGACTCGGCTGTGGACCGTCTGGTGCCAGAATCGGGATTGAGTGAAGGCCTGGACGCTGTGGCCCCAGACTTCGTTGGGCTCTTTTTTTCAGCAGATGGGACCATTCCCGCGTGAGTTTGCGGACATTCCCCGCGAAACTGCCGACATCGTCCACGATCTTCTGGAGATTGATGTTCCCATGATTCACAGCCGCGAGAAAGCCGTAGGGCAGGGGACAGACTGTCGGTGGACTACCAAAGAGCCAACAAGCTTCCAGCCAGACAGTCACTTGTTCTTGTCGTACAGAAATCGGATAAAGACATGAAGAAGCTCCTGGAGGCTGGGGCGGGAGGTGTTGCAGCTTGCTAAAGTTCCCGTAATAGCGTCTACTACGTGTTGGGACCAGAACTGAGAGGCATACGGCAGGAGAGGAAACCGCCGCTTTGTCAAGTCAGCATCCGGCGTCGTATCGACGTCGCCGCTAAGTGGCTCGCCAGGGATGGTGTACACAAGATATGACAAGCAGCACATGGCAATGCAGTGCTGGACCTCTGCGTGGTCTGCCTGAAATTCTGATCTTGTCGATGTGGACGGGCCGTCATCCCCTTCCGTGCAAGAGAAGAACTCGTAGGCCGACAGGTAAATGAAGCAGACGGTTCGTTTTGATGTCAGTTCAAGGAGCCCTCCAAACACATTACTGAGGGATCGCTCGAGATTCGGGATTGTGTCGGCCGCAGAGAGCGGCCGATCGAGGGGGACGGCGACAGCGACGGCAAACTCGTCGATGTCGACCGGTCTGCGGGCGCCTAGAATCCACTTCAGGCCCTTCCGGATGTTCAGGTTCGATTGTCCGGAAAAACGCTCCCGGGGTTTGGCTGCAATGGCCCTGTACAACGCGTCGAGGCCTTCCAGCCGATTGAGGTACTCGATCGCGTCGCATCTTTGGTTCAACGTGAGGACGTCCATGTAGAGGAAGTTGACCAGCAGCTTGACCCAGAGAAACATCCCACTGGCCCGGGAGATGATTTTGTCGACGTAATCCTCGAGACTGGCCGTGCTTGGTAGAAAGCCTCGCCTGGCGAGCTCCTGTAGATGGAATCGCAGGAACAAGATCATGTCATTCGCATTGTGTGACCTGGACAAATTCAATACGTAGCTCTTCGCCATCAGCCGATCCGGAACCTGGACCGTGGGACGACAGAAGAATACGAGAAGACACTCTTCTTCGAACCCACCTGTGACGGTATATATAGGCGGTCAAGGAAGTGCTCCGGGTCGCTGCACTCGTCGACAGCGTCGATGACCAAGTAGAACCTGGGGAACTCCTTGAGAAGCAGTTGGAGAACGGCAAAGATCTCGGCGTCGGTTGCCCTGTGCTGACCCAGGTTCCGCTTATCGAAGAGGGTTGACGCGATGTCGATGGCCTTTTGGCTATGTTGGAGGCCATGCAGGACCTGGGCAAGGAGATAGCGGAAAGCCGAACCGGGGCTTTCTTGATGCTGTTGTTGATTGAAAAAATAATAGGCGACCACATTTGTTGGGGATGATGTCGTTGATCCGGCAGGGGGTATCTCGCTCGCACTGAGATCGTCAATTACAACGGGACAGAGAGTTGTCTTCCCAAATCCTGGTTTTCCTAAAGTTTTTGGAAACAATTAGAGAAGATGCACTCCAAAAAAAAAGGTTAGTTATATAAGAATTAATACCTTGGATGGAGAGCACGCGTTTTGTCCCACCGTCACGCTGGGACTTCCATGCTTGATACTCTGGATCCTGGAGAACCCAGCTACACGTCCCCGTCGCCCTCGAATGGGCAGCAGCGTCGTAGGATTCTTTCCACTGGGGTGGATCAATCCATAGACCCAGTTCGTTGATCCGCGACTCTAGTTATTTATTTCCCTTAGTCAAATCATGTCTTCCTTGAAACGCAGAAATTGTATGTCCTGGATGCGCGCGCGTGTGTGTACTGTACATACGAAACTGCTCTCTCAACGCCGCCTGTTCCGCCTCGACGCTCGTCTCTCGGTCCCTTTGCATCTGGGCATCATATCGCGCGTAGAATAGCAGGGCCTCTTCATGCGATGAAAAGCACTTCGAATTCGAAGAGCTGTCTATGCTCCCCAAAGCGACGTAGAAGATCGCCGAATTCCAGGTCAAAAGGCTTCCACGTGAGCCGCCCGAGACTCTACAACTTGAGGTATAATCCTTCCGACATCAGGACGGGGACATCAACGGTGGAAAAGTAAGAGGTATGTATGCACAGTACATACCAGAACGCTTTGCAGAGAAAAGACGAATAGCCGGGTGGCAGAATCGGATGAGGTCCGCGTAAACATTCGCCAGGGCGTGCACAAGACGTGACGAGATCGTCCGGCCCTGCGCGGCCAGCAAAGACCGGAGTTGCTCGACATGGTTTTCGTAGGCTGGCAGCTTGCGTGCGATCTCGTTGAACATGCTACTGAATTTCTCCATGTAGTCGATGTAATTCGAGCTTAACTGGGAGAGAGTCAATAATGAGCAAGAGGGAAAAAAAAGAATTGTGTCGACATGAATGAGGGGCGCCGACCTTGAAGAGCAGTCTCAGGCTACCCCAAAACAGACCTGCATACTGGGGATTTGTCTGGACAAATATGTCGACAATTGCGAAGTACGGTTCCATTCTCCGTCCAAGCTTGACGATATGATCCACACACCTCTCCAATCGGGTCCTTTGATCCTGCTTCTTCAAAGTTTGCTTCATCTCCGTCTGGATCCAAGCGATCAGATCGTCGACATTTTCGGACAGTGGGAGGCTTTCTTTTTCCTTGTCGGATAGTTCGTTGCAAAATGCCTCGAACGCGTCTTGGAAAATATCCGCGGGCCCATGGTCCCTAATTCTTTGATTTGACCCGGATTAGAGACACTATAGCAGATCAATGGAGGTACGTGCTTACTTGGCTGTACCTGAAGACTCCATTTATGACCTTTTCTTTTGCCAGCAGGCAAGGTTCCTCAGGTGGCAGAAAAGTCGGAGTCATATCATCAGCGACTTATTTATTTCACTTCTCCTTGACTGACGGCCCTCTTGATTCTGCCTTGGTGAGTTGTCAAAATTTCTTTTCCTGATGCCTGCACAGCCTCATGCATGAATTTCAGCCCAACACAGCCACCTTGGGCCCTGTTCGTCGTGCTGGTCACGTAAGGCTGACTTGTGTTCCCTCGGAAGTAACAGTTAGTCTGCCTACCTACCTAGATACTACATAGTCATTAAATATAGCTCTTGCTGCCTTTTTCACTATCCTATTATACTCTACTATACCTCTTGTAGGCCCATAGGAGCTGTAGATACATCTCTACCCCTTCAGACCAACCTATGACTCTCACTTTCGATTCATTTTTTTCTCCATCAAGAGCTGGACTCTGCAAGGTGAAAATAGTTGAAATAGGTAAAAAAACGCTAGGAATACTCTGCATTGTCATGGTGTTTGTGAGAGCTATTGAAATTGAGATTTTTATGGAATAAACGTAAATATCTCATACCAGGCCAGGCGCGTGCCTTTGGAAGTTACAAACTTGCAATCCCGATTAGGAAGCCAGGGCGCCATCCCCGGATGAGAAAGCACCGAAACCTGAAACACGCCAAGCAGCCCTTAAATCACGTGACCAACACACCGCGGTACTGTTAGTGCAGATTAAGTTATTGGAGAGCAACAACTGCAGAGTGCAGACTCGTCACTGCTCACAGTGTCTTCACGGAATCCTGATTCCTTCTCTGTTGCCATCCAAGCTATGATATTCAATCTCTCCAACGTCACTGTGATTGCTCATGCGTAGGACTCTACTGCAGTGAAGTTACGTAAGATCACATGGCAATCAGACTGCATGGGGCAACTCTGCGGCTGCCGCTTTTAGCAACACTACCCACTGGCGCTGGCCCGAGCCCCAATTCAGCGTTGCGGTTCTACCACGCAAGTAATGCTACTGGGCCTCTGTTGAAGTAATCTCCGGAGATTTCCTGTCTCCTTCATTTACGCCCTGACTTAACCCTTTTCTCCCATCCCATTGTCGTTTGATCGCTGTTGACTAGTCACCACTGGTGGTTTCTGGTCTTTCTCCTTTTCTGACGCTCCTTTGCCCTTCCTTCTCGACACGCGACATCGTCTCCTACTCAACGACCCCTCTCTGACCGCTTGCTATATTTAGAATCCTCGAATCTGCCTCGACAACTCGTCGGACCACACAACGTTCACAACCCAGTTAGTAAAGCTTGCAGCCTGTCGAGTCACGGTCGCTACCTCAGAGACAAGCCCCCCTTTGCTCGAATACACGTTCATACAGAAGACTTGACTCGATTGAACCCGAGGTTCTTCGAGTTCCACGTCTGTTCCCGTCCGTCGCTTCGCTCGTATTACCTCCTCTAAGGCGTGTTGCGCAGGAGTCTCTCAGCTCGCTGGTTGCTTGAATTTCAGCGTCGCAAAGATATTTCACCTTTGTCGCATTTCTCCCTTGCATGCTCGTGTGTTGTGGTGTGTCATCAACGGGACTGGCCGCGATCAAGGGTGGTCGATTGCCGAGCAGGCGCGACAGCCAGCGCTTTGACAAACGGATCATTGCTACAGAACAGAAGATCCTATCGACATTGGCTGAGAACATAAAGGTTCGAAATGCGAGGCTAGGGCGAACTGGACTCGTCTCTTAGTGCATCGCTCCTTTCTGTCCTATGCGAAGTTTAAATACGTGCTTCGCGATTCTCCGCACAAACATCGCCAGTCGCTCAACTCTTCGCCAATACGACTTTATTAATTAGAACAATGGCATCGTCTCCCGAACCGCAGCGCGGAAACCAGTCCGACAACGCTGCAACTTTATCTCCCGACGGGCCGTCAAAGCCTTCAGGGTTGCGAGCAGTGTCCTCGAAAGACCGCCTGTCCACATACTCAAATGCGTCGCACACTTCACAGAATTGGTCGCGACCTGCGTCTAATGTATTCCCTGCCTTTCAGTCCAGCTTGCCTTATGCCTTAGTTCGCGACTTTGCGTATCCTGCCATTCACCCTCTTCATTATGGACCTCCGCCACGCACGTCAGGCGTGTCTACTCCTGTTAGCGAGAGCCGACGACTGTCAGATCCCCAACCTGCGTCATGGGATGGCTCAAAGAGCCACTGGTCTACGGGATCCTGGTCATCTGACAGCTCTTATGGGCATCAACAACTTCCTGCTATGTCCTTTGGCGATGGGCCTCCATATAGTGAGGATGAAGATCTACATAGCCCGATTGTCACGTCTCGTCATCGCAAACATAAATCTGCGCACGTTTTAGAGGGAAGAAGAGGGAGAAGCCCGGGTGACAGTGGTCGTGATTTCAGTTACTCTAATGAAAGTGATCGAGGCACACTCGTGAGCTTAAATGGTGACGGCAGTGAGACGTATTATGTCAAAGACGATGATGCAACTGGTGATGGACCTGGTGGCGAGTTTGTCACGTATTCCGCCGGTGAACGTGAGTATTCTGGAACGTATGGGACTGCAGATTTCGGCGAGTCAAACTATGCATCGTATGGCGACGAGGGCTATGGTTACGATAGGGACCCTGATTCCGATGACGATATCTCAGATACTGATCCTTCTCGGTATTCTCGTGATTACCAATTCTCCATTGCGTCACCGGATGAAGAGATGCACGGAAAAGCCGTCGCGCTTTTTGATTTCACTAGCGAACATGAAAATGAGCTTCCTTTGAAGGAGGGTCAGGTGATATTGGTTTCGTACCGACATGGCCAAGGCTGGTTGGTGGCCGAGGACCCCAAAACTGGTGAAAGTGGGCTCGTCCCCGAGGAATTTGTTCGGTTGGTGCGTGATATTGAGGGTGGTTTGACATCTCTTCGTGGAGAGCTCAACAATGGTGATGTCGAGTCCAGTGCTCATCTCAATCCGATGACATTGGACCAAGATGGCACACCCACGCAGACTGAAAATTCTATATCATCCTCAAACAGTCTTTCTACTTCGCCTGGTAACGGGACGCACGAGAAACACCCGTCTGTGATCTCCACTTTCTCCACCAGTAGCCGCGATCTGGAACCATATCCCACTCATTTGTTGGCAGACAGTCAGGGGAAAGCAAGTCCGCAGCAGGTGGATCATTATGATGAGAAGAAAGTCGAGAATAGTAATCATACCGACACCATTTCGGGTGAGACTACGGAGTGAGATGGGAATCAACTGCAAAATATACAACGATAATGACAATCATACCCATGAAGCATTGAATGTTGAATGTCGCTTTTGTTCAGCGTTTCGAGTTCGGGAAGTTCTTGGACGGAACTGCATTCATGATATAATGCTGCTTGACCGGGTCGAGCCGGACTCTCTACCCGAGGAGAATACGCTCCCTGGACTTTTAGTCCTCGTCCATCATCCCGTCCGTTGTTGGAGAAGAAGTATGAGATTCGAAGTTGTGTTGCTGATATGGACGACATTTTTTATGCCCCATGGCATCGTGATTGTTGAAGTCGAAGGAAGCTATCTGGAACTGGAGAATGCCCGTAAAAGGGCGTGTCATGTACCTGAGTCATATGTGTATTCCCCAAGCGCTGTGCAGTGTTGAAATAATAATAAAGACAAATTAATCCCTTGATGTTTGAGAATGTCTCCTTTAAGGGCATCGTGGAAATCCTAATGTTTAGTGCATCCTATCAGAATAACGTCAACCTTTATGGCTTTGTTTTCGTGCTCCACTGGCCTTTTATTCTATCTACAGATGTCTTTGTTTTGCCGGTTCCTGTGTTCGCCTTGATATAATTTTGTCGCCAATTGCGTCCCAACCTAAGTACTAATTTAACCGCCCAACTCGTTTCTACGGCTAGAAGACCCTTCGAAACTAGTTCAACATTTTCGCCCAGATTGATACCCAAAGCTTCATATTCGTCGCTCCTGGTACTATTTGACAGTTCTTGCCTTCATCTGCTTCGAAATGATGACTGCAGCCTGTTCTTGTGGGATTGATTGGAGATGCGTGATTGTTTCACGCGGCGCAGCGGCTATGAGTTGTCGCCCCCGCATGCAGAGATTATCCAATCTAAGAGCATTCTCTAAGCGCCTTCTGATCAAAGTAACCAGGCATGGGATCTGATTTGCCAGGCGAACGTTACAAATGAGGCTCTTTATCACTCTCCCTGGGGCGTTGATTTTGTTCATGCAGTTAGCCGCCAGGCTTTGCAGCAAGTTGCCTCGCGATGAACACAGCCCCGCAACATGGCTGCAGACGTTAAATAAAATGCTGCGAGCTGCTCTCTGAGCTCCTTCATGATGATTTTGTTTTTTATTCTTACATTGCTGCTATCGCCAGGAGTCGCTTGATGCAGGATTAAAACCGGGCATTTGGTTGTTCTGAGTGACAAAAACAATGGCGGAAGTTCTTGCGGTGATGGGCATTATTGCCAACATCGTCCAGATCGTTGACTTCGGCGAGAGAGTGATATCCCGTCTCAATGACTTCCATCGTACTGTCAATAATTGTCCCCGAGCTTTCCGCCAGACCATGACCGAAGTGCCCCTTTTGGTGGATACACTCAAACAAACGGAGAAAGGGATTGCTGCCGGCACCGTCCAGGAAGATACGGCTCGAGCACTCTTCCCTGTGGTGGAGGGATGCCGAGAACAACTTGAAACCCTTGACTCGCTCCTGAAAAAGGCGCTGCCAAAGAAGGGTGACTCCATGGGAACACGAAACCTCAAAGCTTTGTCGTCTCTGATTCAGGAACCAAAGGTGGAAAAATTAAATAGATCGATTCATAGATATATCCAGACTCTCACCTTTTATCACGCAGCTGCTGCATCGACGGCGTACCCTTCAGTAGGTATGTGAACCATCAAATTGTGTACACGCGAGGTCAACGGCCAGGCCAGGTAAGGGCTTAGGGCTCTGAACTGCAGCTCATGCCTTCCTCACGTCACCTCGCCTACAGATTCTGCGCAGACTCGCACCTCAATTAGTCCTTTCAGACTCTCTATACCGCCTCCTTCTGCCAACATGCTGACAACAGATGATGCAGGAGAGAAACTTGCTAAACTCCGTCGATGGTTATCGGCTCCAGACCCATCACCAACGCAGTACAAGCTTGTCAACGAGCGTTTAGCCAACACGGGTCTCTGGTTCCTAAAAAGTCAAAAATATATAAGATGGAAGACTGATATTATGTCCTTTCTCTGGCTTTATGGGATACCTGGAAGCGGCAAAAGTGTCCTATGTTCTGGCATTGTCGAAGATGTTTCTCGGGATTGCGAGTCCGATGCTGGCAAAGCGATTGCTTATTACTACTTTTCCTTCAGTAGTCTGGATGACCAAGCACCAGAGCAGATGATCAAGTCCCTCATCTCTCAATTCTCTGAAAAATGTGTCAGGATACCTGCAAGCTTGGAATCAGTGTTATCTTCTGACCTGACCGGGCAGCGACAGCCACCGTTGCACAAACTCCTGGATATGCTACGTGCAATTATGCAAGAATTTCCAGCTTCATATATTGTCCTTGATGGTCTAGACGAATGTCCGGATCGTGAAGGACTCCTTGGCGTCCTCACGAAAATCGTAAGATGGGAGCTTGAGAATTTGCACATGATTGTCCTGAGCCGAGATGAACCAGACATTCGACGATCCCTCGAAGACATTTGCAACGAAAAAGATACCGTTTGTCTCCGAAGCGGGTTGGTAGATGAGGATATTGGTCGTTACGTCCGCCACAGATTAGCCAATGACAAAAAGTTGAGGAGATGGCACAAAGATCATGAGATACGGCAGGAAATTGAAACCAAGTTGATAGAGAAGGCTCAGGGGATGTGAGATATAACCCCTCCATCTTAGTTGTTTCTGACACAGTATCGTTAACGTCGAATAGGTTCCGTTGGGCGGCTTGTCAAATGGACATGCTTGCGAACTCCATAAATCGCTCACTACTTCGGAAGTATTTAAGAAATTTGCCCCCAACATTGGGAGAAACATATGAACGGATCTTGTGTGGCATTGACGACGTCTACCGCGAGTATGCAAGAAACGTTCTTCGATGGCTGGCCTTTTCAGCCCGACCGCTCTATGTTGAGGAGGTTGCAGAAGTGGTGGCTATCTCTGACGACGACTGTCCTCATTTTGATAGAGATGCAGTTTTGGAGGATCCAATGGATGTTTTGAGCATCTGCCCGAGTCTCATTACGGTGGTGGGGATTCCTATTATTGGCCCAGCCCCCAAGGAATTCGCGGAAGAAGGAATCCCCCTTGAACAAAAATCCTTTACATTGGCTCACTACTCCGTCAAGGAGTACCTGCTCTCCGATTTGATTCAGAAAAGTTCCGCGTCTGCATTCTGGATAAACGAGACAGCTGCCCACTCCTTCATCGCCAAGAGTTGTCTTGCTTATATTTCGCAGTTTCGTGACAAGGACAGCGTGGACACGGAAACAGGAGAACAATTTAAATTAGCTATTTATGCTGCTGAGTTCTGGCCGCATCACGTTCGTGCTTCTGGAAAAGATGCTACTTCTACATATGATCTCGCGATGGAGCTGCTGTCTCTCAAGAATGACAACTATGTTAACTGGTTCCGTTTATTCGACATGGATCACTCAAGAGATATGAATCTCACCCTAACATCCGAAGACATCCCGGCGCCTTTATATGCAGTATCATCGGCGGGACTAACAGAAATTGCCCGCCTGCTGATAACTGAACACCAGTTGGATGTCAATCGACAATGTGGACGGCTTGGCACTGCACTGCAAGCGGCTTCATTTCGCGGACAGGAAACAACGGTCGAGCTACTATTGGGGTTTGGGGCCGATCCCAACATTGAGATGGGAGACCGCGGAAGTGCACTGCTGCTTGCAGCATCTCGAGGCCACTTTGCGATCGTACAGAGACTCCTGGCAGCAGGTGCTGATGTTAATTGGCCAACATCTCACGGAACTGCACTGCACAAAGCATTAGATGTCGCAGTAGCCAAACTGCTGATTGATGCAGGAGCCAACATCAATGCGATAGGAGGGGAATACGGCACCGCTCTACAAGAAGCGTCATATCTAGGCCGTGATGAAGTTGTCGATCTGCTACTCAAGATGGGTGCTCATGTCAATATTGTAAGTGGATTAAATGGTACCGCGTTACAGGCAGCGCTCGTGAGAAAGCATGATAGCATTGTGGACAGGCTGCTAAAAGCTGGATCGAATCTCAATCTGCAAGGAGGGAGGTATGGGACTGCACTACAGGCAGCATGTGCTACCGGCCAGGAGAGCAGAGTTCGGGACCTCATAGCTGGCGGTGCTGACGTCAATCTACATGGTGGCCGATATGGTACTGCCTTGCACGCGGCAGTGATCAACAGGCATGACAATATAGTCGAGATATTACTAGCGTCTGGTGTTGATATCGAGGCGCACTGTGGTCAGCTTGGTACTGCTTTGCACGCAGCATCGGCCAATGGGTATGAAGAAATAGTGAAGCGACTGTTGGCAGCCGGCGCAGATGTCAATTCGCAAGGAGAATGTGGCACTCCCTTACAGGCAGCAATAGGAGGAGGGCATCATAAAATCGCAGTGCAGTTGTTGGAGGCAGGTGCAGATTTCAGTTTTGGCGGAGATCCCTATGACAATCCTTTGCAGGCACCACCATATACGGGTGCAAATGATCTGATCAACGGAATACTCAATGACAATGCCACTGTTAAGAAGGATGGAGGGAAGCATGGTACCTCGTTATAGACGGCGGCAGCGGACAGCCATTTGAAGACACTGGAGTATTTAGTGTGAGCAGGACCAAAGATGGAGCCTGTTGTGTGCCCTACTCTTTCTTCAAGTCTCTATTAATAGGCGACTGTTCCAAGGAGAGCACATATCAACATCACAGAGAAATACCTTCATCAACTGCCGAAAAGTGACGATAGTCTCTGGAAACTGGTCAGTCCTATGCCACACAAAATACCAACTTCCTCCGATACTGGATAAATGAGAAAAAAGGAAAAAGTGGCGGGCAATCTTTGCAAATTAGTTTACATTGAGTCAGAGGGCTCTCCTCTGTTTCTTTTTCATCTTGTTGAACTTATTGCATGTTAATGACTACATCTAAGGTCTATTGTTTCACGTGACGATAGATGCGGTATGCCCGGAGAGTCGGCTTCGACTTTTCCGGCGCTGGCGCTTTCGTCTAATACCTACGGAATACAGAGATGTTTGCTGCCCTGTGATCGATTCCAGCCTGTTTCCAAGTTGTCCGCCCAGTTATCCCTTAATTACTGTTTCCATAGTCCTTTCTTGTTCTCTGGAACTGTATAATTTGAATATCCTTTCTTAAAGTGTATTTTTTAGCATTATTTTTCAACTCTCTATCTGCATCCATACCTGTCCCTGTTTCCCTGGGAATTTTTTCTGCTCCTGTCTCAGGGACTTTACTCGCTGATCCGATCTTTGGTAAGAGCAGCTCATCTTCCCAGCCTGTGCGCTGCTTGGGCCGGCGGACGTGAGAGAAGATGCAGCGCAGCAGAGGGCCGTAGCCAACCAGTGCTCTTGCTCAGTGCAGTTCCCCTGTATTCCCCGTCCAGAGCAGGGACGGTGAGCAGCTGCAGCTTCGTGACTGGATCGTCCGGGCTGACGGAGTGTCCAAACAGACTCGACGCCGTCCGTGTTTTCCTCTAGCCTCTGCGCCGGCTGCCCCTCTCCCGTGACTTCGAGTGCCCCTCCTCAGGAAAGCAACAATGTTCTCCCGAGCCCTCAGAGCAACAATAACCCCACCTTGCTTTCGTCCCATCTCCTCCTCCTCTCATCCTATCTTCTTCTCTCGTCCCATCCTCAATTGCAATCAGAACCCAGGCCTCCGTGCTTTTCATCAATCCTCCGCAGCCATGGCTCCCATCAAGGCTTACTTCGTCGTCCAGTACACCCCCAAGGGCGGTTCAGCTCGTGAGTATTTCGTTTTCTCCTCCCCCAAGCTCAGCAGAAAAAAATAGCGTTTACCCCGCCATGCCCTCTTTTCCCTTTCTCACCTCATATCTCCCTTACCTTTCCCTCACCAATCCATCATAGCTTTCCTATCGTCTCATCTCTTAGCCATCTCAATTTCATCAATTGAACCGCGAATGGCTTCCCGCTAACCTTGTTTCTTCCACGCTTCAGCCAAGCAGGGTCGTATCGACTTCGAACTCTTCAGCGATGACGTCCCTAAGACTGCCAGGAACTTCGCGGAACTGTGCAAAGGCTTCAACTTCGGCACTCCCGAGAAGCCCCAAATCCTAGGCTACAAGGGCTCGACTTTCCACCGTATCATCCCTGGCTTCATGCTGCAGGGTGGTGATTTCACCCGGGGTAACGTGAGTGCTACCTCTACTAATTTCGGCGACGAGTATCCTGCCTCCACTCAATATTAGGCTTCTTAGAGGCAAGGGGGCGGCAGTGTTTCTCGTCAATTACGAACTTTATTGCTGACATCTCATTCCTTATTAGGGCACTGGTGGCAAGTCCATCTACGGTGAGAAGTTCGCTGATGAGAACTTCAAGCATCGCCACGAGGGCCCTGGTATCCTGTCCATGGCCAACGCCGGCCCCAACACGTAAGTTACTGCCGAACTCGTCATCCTTCCTTATACGTAACACTTGTTTCCGCCAAAATGTGTTAAATGTACTTTGCTGATTGCCTTTGGCTATATAGGAATGGTTCCCAGTTCTTCATCACCGTTGCCAAGACCAGCTGGCTCGATGGCAAGCACGTCGTCTTTGGCAAGGTCACCCAGGGTATGGACGTCGTCCGCGAGATTGAACAGCTTGGCAGCCAGTCTGGTGCTGTTCCCGACAACAACCGCCCCACCATCGTCGATGCTGGTGCCGACATCTAAACGCCCAGAACATTGCCAGTCGTAACGGTCGAATGTGATCGTCATTGTGTTGCTAGCTTCTTTCTTACATATGGTCTAGTCGCTGTTTCCACTAGACAAATATAAACCTCTCTTACCCGGTTCTTCCGGGGTTAACATAGCTTCAGCAGTCTTACGTTTGATTTTTAGTCGTAGACCGCATTCTTTCGTATTTAGAGAGTTGAGTCTTGCCATCTCTGCAAAGTAAATGATACTATCTGTTTGCATCTTGGGAATTCAGCCCACATGCTTGTAAAGTCAAGGTAATATTATGAATTTGACGGCTTGAACTCCAACTAACGACATTTCTGATCAGATACGGAAGCGTTCCGAGGGTAGGTGAATAGTCAAGCCACATTCGTGTTTCACGAGCCGACATTGAAGTTGTCACTCTTCCAGCACTATATTCGCTCATTCACATCTCCAAGGCGAGGTGAATTTCCCACTTGGGTAACTACACGTACCTAATCGTGTTCACCTTCCCATGATCGTCCCCACACTGAATGTGGGTTTCCTAAACGTCTACAGTGTGGTGAGAAGGTTAATATCTCCTTCAGGTGAATAGGTACTTATCGCTCAATTAGCTTCGATCCGTGCAAATATCCTGCCGCCTAGCAACAAACAGAGCCATAAACAAAGGTTCTCCCCGTGTAAACAATGACTTTGTTGGTGTTGCTGCCCCGCGTTGTGGGCTCCCAGCTACGGAGTACATAACTTAAGCTCTGGATTGTCATTCGCTAGAAAGCCTGGTAGCCATAAACTGCTTTAGAGAGGATGTTGGTTGATGAATGTTACACTAAACTACCTACTCAGGTGCCGATTAACTATTTCCATTCAGTCCAGATTAGAGCTCTTGGATAACCTCCTCAGCTCGATATGATCGAATTCCTTTTCCAGCACTGTGAAGATCACGACGATTATACAGAACTGGTGTGTTATATTGCTGATGTTATCGTCGTTTAAACATGATGGTCTCCGCCCTGTTATTAGCGTCGCTGGTTTGGGTCGCGGGAACTTGTAGTGCCTCCAAGCAGTTCCCTCTTGGTGGTAACTCACCGTCATCTCCATTCGACAAAGTTTTCGATGAAAAGGTCGTTTGGGCGCAGAAACACTTCCGAATTCCCGGGGTGTCGATAGCCGTGGTGCATGGCAATGAGACTTTTTTCAAGGTGCGTTCCGCACGGCTGTTCCGCATCTTATCTCGACCCATTCTTGGCCAGATCTGTGTTCCCCGCATTATTGCTAACACCTCCGCTACGCATATTAACTATAGGGATACGGGGTCTCTGATCTCTCCACGGGGAGTCCCGTCACTGAAGACACGCATTTTATCGGAGGAAGTACCACTAAGGCCTTCACTGCTGCTGCCATCTCCCTTCTTGTCGACGACAATGAGAACTTCCCCGAGATCCAATGGGACACTCCGATCCACCGAATTATCCCCGAAGATTTCGTCCTGAACGATGACTGGTACACCGCTCACGTTACCCTTGTCGATGCGCTGTCGCATCGATCCGGATTACCGCGTCATGATATGACATGGCTGTGTTCCAACATCACCCTGAGGAAAGGCGTCCGCAATATGCGGCACCTCCCCATCACGGCTCCCATCCGCACCGTATGGCAGTACAGCAACTTGATGTACATGTCCGTGGCGCATATCATCGAGACGGTTACTGGCCAATGGCTGGGTGATTTCTTCCGGGAGCGCATTTGGGAGCCGCTTGGCATGACGGACACGTACTTGTCTGTGGATGACGCTCTCGCCGCAGGTGCTGAGATTTCTCGCGGATACTATGTCAATCTCACCGGCGATCTCGAGGATCTCAGCTGGGTCCCACTGGATCATGTCCGCGGAGCGGGTCACATCGTGTCGTCGGCTCGAGACTATGCAAAATGGGCCAGTGCTATGATCCATCGTGCTCCCCCTGTCTCGCCAGAGGCACATGCGGCACTGGTCAGCGCACATTCCATTATGGTCCCAACTGTCATGGAACCCGAATCCGCACCGCAAACGTACGGCCTGGGCTGGATGATCCACAATTATTGCGGGGAGGTGATCATTGAGCATGGGGGTGCAGAACCAGGGTTCGGGACCCTCGTGCTATATCTGCCGAAGCGTGAATGGGGTCTCACCATCTTCACCAACAACATGATAGGCGGCTCTGCCGCGGTATGGTTTCTAGCGTATCATCTCATCGATGAGCTTCTGGGAACACCCGAGGAGGAGCGGTTTGACTGGGTTGCAAGGTTTGTCTGTCCTATCTGTTAACATCAAATCGGAACAGAACAGTCGAGATACTGAGAAGAGAACATCGCGACTGACATTATGATTCTGTATCTATAGATCGGACAAGAATATCCACGAAATAACCACAATAACAGACGAAAAAGCCCAGAAAACCTATCCATCTCTCCCAGACCCTCCCCACCGCACCTCTCTCCCTCTGTCAGCATACGAGGGAATCTACGTCCACCCCGCCTACCCGACATTGAACATCAGCAGAGAGTGCAGGAAGATTTCCCTATTCCCCCGTTCCTACCAATCCTCCCAGGGGAAGGAAATCTCCCTCTGGGATCGACAAGCCCTCTGCGCCACGATCCCCGGCGCCATCTCCGACGGCGTCTTCGAGCTCCGGCATGCGTCCGGCGACTTCTGGTTCTTCGCCTACGAGCTGTGGGGGGAGGTGGAATTGACGCGCGCGGAGTTCAGGCTCGGCCCTGATGGGACGGTCAGGGCCATTGGCGTCAGGTTTGAAGAGACTATGACGGACTATATTTGGTTGGTGAGAGGGGGCTGAGACAAGTACTTTTTTTTTACGAGTGATGACGGCGCGGATTGGAGATTCGACAGCTTGGGGATTGGCATTGCACTGTGTGCAAGCAAGCATTTACTATTTATGATATTATGATGCTACTTACTTCCCAGCGCAATGATACGATTCATAAGTGGAATGAAATAGAACTTAGGGATCTTCCACATTATCCATTTTGATTCTTTTGTCTAGCCTATCCCGCCGTATTTTTTGTATGCCTGACTTATTTCACGATCATCTGAAGAGGCGTCTTTGTCTCCTGCATACGGTGACAATGAACTTCTGTCTCTTGTCCAGTTGAACCCCCTCCCCACACCCCAAAAAATGGAGGCTTTTCCTGATTGCTGCCGGCGCTGGTTCTCACTGCGCATCTTCTTCGAATCGACGGCATTCATTTTTTTTTCCCCTCCCCACCCTTCGTCATGGCCTTGCAGGTCCTGCCTGACTTTGGCCTTCTGCCCACGGGCTCAGTGCATTAGAGATAGATCTCTCTCGTAAGAGACATCAGATCGATAATAGACGTAAAAAAGATATGACAGACACAGTAGTCAAAACTTTCCAGCGACAACCCTGTCATACATCATCTAGGCCTTCGCTGCTGGCAGGGACAATAGCCCGGTTCGCTCCCTTGATCACACCTTCCAGGATCTCTCGTATTTGCTTGCACCCGTCAATACCGACTGCAAGCATCGTCTCGAGATACGAGATATGCGCCCTGGTCTCCATATGCAGAACCGACACTCGCATGTCATCCACCTCGTCTTCCATGGCATCTTCCCCCGTGGGGATCGGAGTTGTCGTCCCGACGGTCACAAACGGTAACTCTTGCTCTTCTGGCAGGGAGAGATCTAGCAGCGGATCGAGGCCGTCGTCGTTCGGATCCCGGGGCGTAGATGCGCTGCCGCTCATTCCGGCAGTGCAGCCGCAGAGCAGGCCCGGCATGGGAATACCCGCGTCGACGAGCGCAAGAGTGCAGGCGTTTATGGCGGCTGCGAGCAGCGATCCGTCTGCCGATAGCACGGAAACCTGGATGCTTATGGTACTGTGCGGATACAGGTAGGTATGGAGATGGGATTGGAATGCGGAGCGAAGGACGTTGGCGAGCTGTGCCGATTGTCTGGATGGATGTAGGAAAAAATCGATTAGCATCCTTGCCTGCACTGTAAATATTCTCTCTCTCTTTTTTTTCTGGATTTTTACCTGTCACTTCCACCAACTCTCCTCTTGCGATCGACTAACGCGAATCCTGCAATATTGACATCGACCTCCACGACTGCACCTGTTGTGCCCCCTGCACCTGCTGCTTCGCCGCGACGACCTTCGGCGGGACCGTGAACAGTGCACATAACAGCCGTGTTGCCCATGGACAAATATGAGGAGCCCGAACTTGCTGGGTTTGTAGAGATCTGGGCCTGAAGCAGGCGGAGCTCGTTCCACCGACGGCCATCGAGCCGGAGCTTGGTAAGAGGATATGTCGTAGACGTGTCTAGGGGCATTTTGAGGAGATATAGATTTCAGCGACGCTGCGAGCCCCTTTCAATTCTTCTTGTAGAGTGAGTCTTTGCCTGTCTGGAGAGAGTTGCTTCGGGTGTTTCAGCAGTTCATCGGATCTGGAGAAATTTCGCTCGAGGTCACCGGGATCAGAATCACAATCTGGCTGAATGATGACAAAAAGATATAACAGTATTCCCGGCTAGTATACTGCTGCTCAATCGCCGCAATGAGCAGAGTAAGACTGATTCAAATGCGTGAGGTCTTAGGTCTATGCGGTTGTCGCGCATTTCCGGCGGAGAAAATCAAGCTAAAAGCTCTTTTTCCCTACCAGGCAGGCTTGCCGTCCGCCGACGCGACAGGACCCCGCGACAAGCTCCCCGCGACCAGCTCTAGATCGGCTGGAGCTGATGGACTGAGAGCAGAACAAACAGCATGGGGTCGGACTGGGAGTTACAGGATTCTGACGCTGCTTCAGCCAGTGCTGACGAGGATGACGATGATCTGGAAATTACCCACGTGCTCGAGAGAAAGGCTCCCGCTATCTCCGGTAGGTTCCCCCGTCCGCCGCGCGAAGTATCGGAGTGCTACTTACTGACAGCTATTCCAGACTCGCGGCAAAGATTTCAATATAACAATGGACGCGATAATCAAGATTCACCAAGCGATCATGGACATAAAAGGCGGCGAACGCATTCAGACGAGGAAGGAAACCGAACCACGATCGTCGTGTCCGAACACGACAACAACGAGGACGATGACGATGACGACTTCAACGACGGCGAGGCTGCTTACAAGCAGTTTAAAAACAGGAAAAGTCTCAAACGCAAACGTTCCTCGCTAGGCGGGCGCAAGAGCAAGGCAAAAGTGGTTGCGGAGGACTCCATCGTTGGCAGGGTTCCAAAAGATCGACAGATTTATCGACCAAGGCGTCAGATGAGGGAGTATGACGAGGAAGTCTCATCGGAGGATGAGTTGATGGAACACACGCTGCCGGATTTCTTGCAGAAGCGACGGGCCGAATTTGACAGGAGGCTGGAGCGTCTCAAGCAGGCTGGGTTGAGGCTACCGCCGGATTACGACGACATCGAGTTTTCGGATGACGAAAGGCTGGAGTTCCTGAAGGAGAAGCCGGATTTCAAAGATCTGAAGCCGTCTGGAAAGTACGAGGATATCCAGCTTCCCTACTCTCTGGGATTGATACCCGCGCCTATCGCTCAGTGGCTGCGGGAATACCAGGTTGAAGGCGCTGCTTTTCTACATGAGTTGTTTGTTTACCAAAAAGGTGGCATCTTGGGCGATGATATGGGTCTGGGAAAGACGGTTCAGGTTATCGCCTTTCTCACCGCGGCTTATGGCAAGACTGGCGACGAGAGAGACGCGAAAAGAATGCGAAAGATAAGACGAAGCAGGGATAATCGCTGGTATCCCCGGACTCTGATTGTCTGTCCAGGAACGCTGATCGAGAACTGGAAATCTGAGTTCCACCGATGGGGTTGGTGGCATATTGGAGTCTTCCACGGTGACAGGAAGGAAGAAGCTCTCCAAGCTGCCAAGACCGGTAGGCTGGAGATATTGATCACGACATACACCACATATCGCATGAACAAGGATTCGATCAATATGGTTGAGTGGGACTGCGTGGTGGCCGACGAGTGCCACCTAATCAAAGAACGGAAATCGGAGACTACCATCGCGATGAATGAGGTTAACGCTCTCTGCAGAATTGGGCTGACCGGGACAGCCATCCAAAACAAGTACGAGGAACTGTGGACGCTCCTGAATTGGACCAACCCAGGAAAGCTGGGTCCTGTCACAGCTTGGAAGAGAGCGATTTCCGAGCCCTTGAAGATAGGGCAGTCCCATGATGCCACAGTTTACCAGCTCAGCAAGGCCAGGAAGACAGCTAAGAAGCTTGTTCAGAACCTGTTACCAGCCTTCTTTCTCCGACGCATGAAGACTCTGATAGCAGACCAACTGCCCAAGAAGAGTGATCGAGTTGTCTTTTGTCCGCTCACAGAGACCCAAGCGGATGCCTATGAGAATTTCTTGGACAGTGATATTGTGCAGTACATCAAAACTGCCTCTGAAATCTGTGATTGTGGCTCAGGGAAGAAAGCTGGTTGGTGCTGCCGGATGTTCTTGCCTTCCGGTGAAAAATGGCAGAGCTGGGTGTTTCCGGCCATCGCGAATCTTCAGAAGCTTAGCAACCACCTTGCAATCCTGATTCCGCAAGGAATAGATCCCAAGGAGAAACAGGAAAAGGACTTGGAAATGCTTCAGATCGCAGTGCCCGATCGCTGGCGTGAACTCTACCGTTCTCGAGACTCGATCATCAACTATGCGAATCCGGAATTCTGTGGAAAGTGGAAAGTTCTGCGAAAGCTCCTCAAGTGGTGGCATGCGAACGGCGACAAAGTCCTCGTGTTCTCGCACAGTGTTAGGCTTCTCAAGATGCTGCAGATGTTGTTTAACCACACGAGCTACAACGTCAGCTACCTGGATGGCACAATGTCCTACGAGGATAGAGCCAAGGTCGTTGACGATTTCAACTCGGATCCCAAACAGTTTGTTTTCCTCATATCTACCCGTGCTGGAGGCGTAGGTTTGAACATCACGTCCGCGAACAAAGTTGTCGTGGTCGACCCGAATTGGAACCCGTCTCATGACCTGCAGGCCCAGGATCGAGCTTACCGAATCGGCCAGCAGAGAGACGTTGAAGTTTTCCGGCTGATATCAGCCGGGACAATCGAGGAGATCGTCTATGCACGTCAGATATACAAGCAACAGCAAGCCAATATCGGGTACACCGCAAGTTCCGAGCGGAGGTATTTCAAGGGCGTTCAAGAAAAGAAAGACCAGAAGGGCGAAATCTTTGGATTGACCAACTTGTTCGAGTACCAAAACAACAACATCGTGCTGAGGGACATCGTGCACAAGACCAACATTGCCGAGAGCAAGGCTGGAGTTCAGGTGATTGGAATCGATCTGGACCAGGAGGATGTCAATGAAGGCGAGTTCCCCCTTCCTTCAGCGGACGACGAGGACGAAGATGGGACAATGAGCCAGCTTGCCGCAATGATCCGAGGGGAAACAGACGGCTCTTCGACACTGGGGAACAAGACAGCAGGGATCACTCCGAAAAAGCACGATCCCATCCAAGCCATTCTAGCCGGTGCAGGAGTGGAATACAGCCACTTAAACAACGAAGTAATCGGCCCCTCGAAAATGGAAGAACGCCTCAGCCGGCGCGCAGAACTTGCAGGGGACGCACTAGGCGAGATGCAGGTCTTCGGCAGCTCACAAGACAATGACAACCTGATCATCCGCAAGGATGGCCGCCCAGTCAAATTCAAGTACCATCCGCCTCCGGACGTGATGAAGCGGCAGTTCTGCAGCATGGCGAGGCGGTTTGGGTTTCCGAACGCGACGGAATTCGCCCTCGTCGTGGAGAGCATGACACAGGCTCAGAGACGGGCCTGTCTCGAGAAGTGGTATAGAGAGAGGAGGGAGATACTGTTGAAAAAGGGTGATTAGGCCTCTCCAAAGTACCGTCCTTAGCACTCGATGCGATGCGAGCTTTTTTTTACGTGACATCTACTACCAAATTTGGAAAGTTCCATATATATTGGGTGCGTTTTGTTTTCTCTTTCTGGCGTTTACGGAGGATCGGTTTTTCAAGATACCCCTGCTGTATCAGCATACAGTTGTTGTCGAGTTCTGTAAATTTAGCAATATAGATTATTATTATCGTGTGGTGAAAAATGTCTTTTTTTTTGTCGTTTGCCTAATTAGGCCGTAACAAACTGATTCGTATTTCTCTGGGTTCATGGAAGAGAAGTGCAACATGTATGTACTAATAAGGTCTTTTTTTCAATTTCATGTTCCTCACTACCTAATTACCTTGATATACCAAAAAAAGGCCCGAGTTTGCAGCTTTTCTGCTACGTAGCAATACAATCTCAATCAATCTGTCTGAGTAGGGAAAAAGAAAAGAAAGATCCTTAGGAAGAAGAGGATTGATTAAAGGGATGAGAGAAGACAGGGCAAGACAAGACAAGACAAGAAAGAGAAAATGAAATGAAATAAAAACTCGATCAATTAATTACTCCATCACTGTTTCCCTTCCTCCATCCTTGTTTGTTGCTGGTACCAGTTGGAAAAGAAGTGGTAGCAGTAGTAGGATGAAGGGGTAACTAATGCCTCTGAAAACCTGTCCGTAAACACCATAAACACTGCCATATGTATGCTGAAGAATAAATCTCCATTATTTGGTCACCAGCTTCAATCGCTGTCGCTGTCCTTAATCCCCGATTAGGTAACCTGTGTCTTGATTATCGACCTTCGACCCGCGCTCATCATAACGTAGAGAAAGCCGATCGACCAAATGAGTCGAGTCGCAATCGCATTGCCTGTCCATACTTATCTGCATCAAACGAAACCGTCTGTCGAAGTTGTTGATGTGTGAGAGTCTTCACTCCACGACGCTCCTGACATACCACATGAACTCATGGTCCTGCATGAGGCGATCCATATCATCCGTCCGCAACTGAATAAGAACTTCGCTGTCATCTTCGTCGATGATCACGGCCCCTTGCGGCAGCGGCGTCGTCCGCGGCGGCTGCGGGTTGCGACTCGGCAAAAAGATCATGACGCCCTCCTGATGCGTCCAGGGGGGACGGACGAATTCCACGCGTTTGTCGTTGCCGATCCCGGGGATCTCCCACGTGTAATCCTCATACTTCAAAGCGCGCCAGTTTTCGACCACGATGTCCATTCCGCCTTTGTAGTGCGAGTTGAGAGTGACGTCTCTGATGTCGGGCGTTACGTTGCACGCTGAGATGAGGGACCGGACGTGGCCTTCGTCGACTTTGGCCATGGCGTGACGGATTTCGATCAGGCTGGACAGCAGGGCTGTCGCTGATTTCGGCTTGAAATCAGTGCCTGCGAACTTAAGGTCGAGCACGGAATCGCTGTCTTTGTGGAGAAGCCTGGACAGTGGAAGCACGGCCTGAGACTGAACGGTTGTGCCGCCGATGAAGTCTTCTGGCACGGGGGGATCCATCTTGCCACGGATGGTCACAGGCAACGTGATGCTGGAAGTCCTTACGTTCTTGCCTTGAACAGGGCTGCCGTCAGCGTTCAGAAACCGCCGACTCCGAGCACGAGTCACGAATACCCAAACCAGAGCATAGAGAACTTCTGTGATCAAAACAGACTTCAGCAGAAAGAGTTCGCCAAGCTCGAAGAAAGCTCCCTTCATGTTGTCTTCGAGAAACTTTCTGAGAGTCACAATCCTCTCGTTCGAAAAGGCAAAGACTTTACCTCGAGCCATGGCAGCCAAGATGTCACTCGCCTGCTTGGCAGAGCCTTCTTCCACTGGTGATCCGGCCTCAGACAGATCCGGCGGCGTTTTGACAGTGGTGACGATTGGGAAATTGTATTCACGATGGCTCTTCAAGGACTCGTCCACGGCGAGTCCTTTGTCTAAAACCGCTCTGAACTCATCCTGGTCAATTCTTTCGTCAGGCAGCACCACTGACTCGTCGAGGAAATCTCGGAAATGATCTATAACGATCGACAATCCAAACTCGTCAATGACACTGTTATGAGCGTAAACGGCCAGGATCAAGCCACCTCGTATGAAGTTGGCCTGAAACACTGTAGCTGCCCACGGCTTGTCCAGTCCCAGGTCATGGGGAACGTTCGAGACTAGAAAATTGGGAAGTTTACTAGGGGGCATTCCCAGGCCCCGGAGCTCTTCATAAGTGTATGGAAATTCACTCGCATCATACACTTTCACAAGCAGCTTTGAATCTTTGACGTAGCGGTCGTCATACGTGAGTTCCAAACGACCACTTTGTTTGCCGCCATTTTTGTCCAGAGCAACGTGTCCAGACAAATGAGGAAAGAGACAAAGGATAGCCTTATGTGCTCTTTCAAGAGCGTCAACAGCTACGTCGATATCATCACCCACGAACGGAAAACAAAACAAACGTCGGAGATAAGTACGCGGCATGAGTTGCTCCAATGGCGATAAGAGTATAAAGTGAGTTCTGTTGTTTCGCCTAGCTATTGATCGCTGAACCAGTGCCCAAAGGGCTTCGGCTCGAGAATGTCCTTGGGCTGCCAGATCCATGATTTGGCTGAAATCAGATAAAGAAAGAATAGTAATGCGACGACAGCGACAAAACTTGCGACTTAAGAACGTCGGTATGTAATATTTCGAGTTCTCAAAGCTCTTTCAGAACGACCTTGAGACAGTTCTCTGAGCCTTCTGCCTGTTCCCTTCAAGAGACACGTCCTTCAGGGAAGGAGACACGTTTGAATAGACGTGTCGTAAACGGACGACTCACAACGTTGTGAGGACAAAAAAGTGAAATTGAAGCCAGAATCCACAGGTGAACGGCTTGCAGCACGCAGAGATGCTCTCTGATCCAATCTCGACAAGAAGAGAAGAGATCCAGTGATTGCTAGAATCAAGAAGACATGATGCAGTTAAGCAAGATGGGATGGGATGCGAGGGTGTAGAGAGTGATGAAGAGCACACGGATTCATGAATCCTCATGAAAATAAACAGTGAGTAGCTGCAGCCTTAGTCCCGCACCAGCGGCAAAAAGACTCTCGGCGATGAGGGTGGTGAATGGGCGTGGAGCTGCCGAGAAAGAAGAATCTTCCGGACATGTTTCTGATAGAGGATGGACCAGGAGAAAGGAGACGCAGCCTCCTGAAGAAGGGCATCAGACAAATAGAAACGAACAAGACAGTTCTGTTTCATGATTATAGGATACACATCTTGTAGACAGGAATCCAATGTCTTCAAACAAAGCCATCATTGTAAAGCTGTATTGCTCTAAGAGAATAGTGTGAACAGAACCAGCAGTTGACCCAAAAGAAGCTGCAGACTAAATGAAACCTTACTCCTAAACACCATGCTAATAATCATCAATCATACATAATATGATATGGAAAGCTCAAAACCAGGATAAGGTCCACAATGCTGGCAGATTAGGCCACTTCTCTTGCCATTCAGCGAGGATCTCTGGTACTCGCTCGTCAAAGCTTCGTCGGGCATCGCCAGTGCCGTGGTCCCAGCCTTCAGTGCCGTTCCGTCGGCGCTCTTCGTTGGCTGCTTCATTGAGTCGATCCGCGAGGTCGAGGATGGCTTTGCCTCCCAGCAGTGCCTCCTCGTGATTATCCCTGATATCAACATTGAAGACGTGTACCGGTCGATTGAGGGGGGCTCCCTTGTTCATCAGGTCATCTAAGACCGCGTCCCAGCATCGCTCTTCGCAGGTGATAATGACATCAACAACACCACCTTCCGTTCCCACGCTTCCTTTGTCACCATTCGCCACGCGGTCGACGCGAGGCATACCAGGTACCCAGTCCTGAAATCTCTCGGGGCCCCATTTAAGATTCTTGTTTCGCTCGAGCATGTTGAGGAGTCCATTGTTGCGATAGAGTCTCTGATCCTTGGCATACAGCTCATCATACATTTGCGCATATGACGTCGTATTGAAGTTATAGACATTGGGCTGGGTGATCGATGGGCCAGGAAGACGGACTAAAGAGCCGGTTCCAAAGGAGATGACGGGATAACTAGCAGGTGCAGAAGAGAGGCGAAGATGGGCTTCCATGGACCGGTTTTGATTAGAGGCGCATACAGTGCAGAACTTGAGCTTAAAGGGTATATCGTCTGAAGATGTAAATGTAGATGTAGATGTAGGTCCATCTTGCTGCTTTTCTACTACATCACCGGTTGAGTTCGACGTAGTGGGAGGAGCCGGTTCTGAGGGAGGCGGCGTAGATTCCGGGTTCGCAGAGTCTACTCTTGCGAGTCGAGGATCGGCAGCCATTTCAGCAAAGTACTCCGTAGTATGAATCTCAGAATATTATGTCCGGGCTTCTCCCAAAGGCCAAGTGAGATTAAACTTAAGCAAAACCGAAGCAAGGGCGGAAATCAGGGTGGGTGGAAAGTTCGACCACTAGCTCTCGAAAACCCCTGACAAGGACAATCAGCACAGATCTACTAAGCTTATACGAAGAAGTGCAAGCAGAGACAAGATACGGCTGAATATCAGACAGTTTTTCCGCGTATAGTAAAAAGACTCTCGACATTGCAGGGCTAAGACAGCTCCAATAAAAAGGATCATCACTTGGATTCAGAAGCTGAGGGACGCAGCAAGCGACAATACTAGCTTACCTTGCAGTATGCTATCATCATCTACATCAAGTTCCAGACCGAATTGCCGCGTAAGTGAGAGCTGGCAAAGGCTGGATTGAGGAGGCGAGCTTGTGGCTAGTGAGCATCAAAGGTGGATGTTTTGCAAGAAGGAACTGCCTGAGAGGGCACTAATACTGTGTGTGGCCCGTGCACAGATGAAGTCACGTGACAGACATGTGATAATGTCCTGAGTGTTATGGATGAGCTGGAAAATCCAAATCCACACCATGTTGATAGAATCGGTGTTTGCTTTAGGAGAAAGAATTCTCTAGAGTTGGAGGTTGAAATTTACAGGTACACGATCTTTGCCAGTACTAACAGCAGCAATCTGCAAGTCTGGTTGAAATCTGGACCAGAACTGAAGCTTATGTATCTCGAGCCTCTATTTAATTATTCAATAATGACTCTCCTAATGAAACGGAACTTTCCATTTGTTATTAACAATCGTGGCGTGACTGGAGATGGCAATAGTTGATTGCAGAGATGTGCTCTCTCACCCATACGGAAACACATGAAATTCAGCCTCCTGACCATTCTTGGCAAATATCATGTGACTAAAATCTAGTGGATGGCATGTGCCTGCTGCCCCACACTCCCGGTTTTGAAAAACCATAACGGTTATGCAGGTTTTTCAACCGTTTTTCCAGCGAAATTACTAAACGGTTAACTAACGGCTAAGTATTAGAAAATGTTAGATTTTTCAAAAACGTTAGTTATAGGGAGACATAAGCATTATATAATATTTGCAAAAAAATAATGTTCTTTTTAGGGTAAAATAACATTTTTAAGTAAGAAATGGTTGATCTTTTTAAGGTTTTTCCAAAACCTGGCCTTTATGGTATCGCTCTACCACGACCTCATTATTTGGGTAGTTTAGCCAGTCTAGTGGTTCTATTAGATAGTTCTTAGGTATAGTAGAAATAATAAAAACCTCATCTTCTTCCGGTAAAGTAGTATCAGTGGTGGTTCGAATCTAAAATAGTTTAGATGCAGCTTTAAGTGGGAAAAATGGAGTTGGTTCGTTTCTAAAATTATTAGAATTTCTATAAATACTGGGTTTTTATACATGGTTTAGGAAGGGAGATCCTTTTCTCAATACCAATACTTATTTGTACGTTGGATTTTTCATAAACGGTTAAGTAAACGGTTTATCAACCGGTTTCTAAACCACCCGAGTTCCGTATGGACATGCCGAGGTAGATCACGAGTCGACCCCCATCTCCAGACAGGAAACGGATAAAGTTAAATTGGCCCGGGGTAAGCATGGAGACGCCTAGACGCAGAGCTGATGATAGACGACCTTTTAAGTATTTTGCTTGAAAAATTCCATATTATTTAGTATGATCTTTCAAGGCAGCGACGCCTGAGAACAATCGATCGCTGAGAAGAAGCAGCAGCTTATGAGATAATAGTCAACATGGAACCGTCAAGCTCTACAACGGGGTTCTTCCAAACGCGCCCGGTCATCCCACCCCAGTACTTCGAGGACAGGGCTCTTCAACGCATTATTTCGCTCCACCTTCCATCCCCTACACCGCAGGAAATCTCAGAGGATCTCGCGCAATTTTCTCGCCTTGTTCTATCAAAACGTATCCTGTCCTACATTGCCGATGCGGAGAAGAATACACCCTACCTTAAACCTCTCACCACGTTCGGCGCCGAAAATAAGCAGGATCCCTTGGTCACAAGCGAAGGGTGGCGTGCGCTGCAAGAGATCGGTATCAAGGAGGGCATTGTGGCGTTAGGATACGAGGACAGCAAGGGAAGATGGAATCCGCGCGTCCGCCAGTACATTAAGTATCATCTATGGAGCGGGAGCTCTGCCCTTGTTACCTGCCCCAGTGCCATGACGGATGGTGCTGCGCGTCTCCTCGGAAGGCATCTGAACGACGAGAATGGAGACATCTTCGCTGAGGCGAGAAGAAGGCTGACCAGCCGGGATATCGACATCGCATGGACTAGTGGGCAATGGATGACTGAGCGCAAAGGCGGAAGTGATGTTCGTGGAACGGAAACGATCGCAACCAAGGTGGTCGGCGAGGATGAAACCGATGGCGTCGATGCGGAAGGCATGCCACTTGGTCCGTGGAAGATCGACGGATTCAAGTGGTTTTCGTCCGCAACAGATGCGAACATGACCATCCTTCTTGCCAAGACCGGAAAAGACGGCCAGATAAGTGCTTTTTACGCGCCGTTGAGGAGACGTGTCAAGGGTGGTGCAGAGGATGAGACTGAGCTCAATGGAGTGCGGATCCAACGACTCAAGAACAAGCTGGGCACCAAGCCTCTTCCAACCGCAGAACTCGAGCTGAAAGGAATGCGAGGCTATCTACTAGGCAAGGAGGGCCAAGGAGTCAAAGAGATCTCGACCGTTCTCAACATTACTCGGATGCAGAACATCGTATCTGCAGTGGGCGCATGGGGCCGTGGACTGGCCATCAGCCGAGCCTTTGCCAGAGTGAGAAAATCTGGTGGGAAGCTGCTGTGCGATATCCCCGCGCATGTGAGAGGAATGGCACAAGAACATGTCAAGTACTGGGCCCACATGCATCTGGCTTATTTTATTGCAGCGCTTCTTGGTCGTTCCGAAGGTTACACAGCCTCAGATGATTCTGCTGCGGCAAACTCTCTTATCCTACCGCACAACGAGGAAGACAGCAAAGCTCTCTATCGAGTTCTGACTCCTCTCGCTAAGGCCCAGACAGCGTTGTCTGCTATTAGCGGGCTACGTGCGTGCATGGAAAGCCTGGGTGGAGTAGGGTACTTGGAGAACGAAGACCCCGAGCTGAATATCGCGAGACTCTATCGCGACTCGAACGTGCTGGCCATATGGGAAGGGACAACAGATATCATGGCAGATGATCTTGTGCGCGCCATCAAAGGTGCGGGCGGCTCCAAAGTCCTGAGCACACTGGACAGTTGGTTGAAAAAGGCCATTTCCACAGGCGCAAAGGCGGGCTTCAACCAGGAGTGTCAGACATTGAAATCACTCTCAGATAAGCTGCTGTCAGACTTCAGCCTCAAAGACAAAGATGAATTGCGATGGAAGGGTAGAGACTATATGCGCGACTTGGACCTTCTAGTCAGCGGTTGTTTACTGGTGATGGATGCTGCGAGAGATGGGGATGCGACGGCACGAGAAATAGCAAAGCGATGGATCTCTGGAAGCAGTCACCACGGTCAAGACTGGAGAGCCGAGGCTGACTGGGACAGGAGGATCGTTTTTGGTGACAATTCGCTGCCGGCAAAGCTGTAGATAGAATTCACCTGTACTTATGTTGGATGATGTATGAGAGACTGCATAGTTATCACGTGCAAAGCTTATGGACACTGCCGTTGTTAGTTCTGATACCATTCCCCACGTTCCTTGTTAGCAACATTTCCATCACAATATTTACTACCAGACGCTTTCCCCACTTGAGACTTGACCTTTTAAGGAGCCCTTGTGCAGGTGTTGATACTCTGGGATGACCGCCAAAATCGAGCGGAAAGAGGCCTCGTGCTGTACTCGGAAACCATCCCAGGATGGATTCGTACCCGCTCTTATTGTTGTTGACATGCAGGAGGACTTCTGCCCACCGGTGTGTACCACCATCACAGCTTGGATTTAGAAAATGACATTGAATGCAAGAAAAAAGTACTTTTTTTGATTATTGATACTGAGAGATTTTCTTTGTCTTTGGCTTCTGTAGAACGGGTCCCTCGCAGTCCAGGATGGCCGATCCATCGCGCCCTTGATCAATTCCCTTCTGGAGCTTCCTGGCTTCGTGATGCGCATTGCGACCCAGGACTACCATCCTGCAGATCACATCTCCTTTGCCAGCAACCACCCACCGCCCAACAACCGCCCGTTTGAATCCGTCATCGAGATGAAGAATCCGGCTCCGGGCAAGGAGCACGAGACGAAGCCGCAGCGGCTCTGGCCCGTGCATTGCCTCGCCGGCAGCCCCGGGGCGTCCATCATCCCGGAGATCAACACGGAGAAGATCGATCTGTTCGTGAAGAAGGGCATGGATCCCCGCGTCGAGATGTACTCTGCGTTCAGCGATGCGTTTGGCAATCTGGACCCTGCGCTCGTCCGAAAGTCCGTCGACGCAGACATCCAGGCTCAACTGTCAGTCCGCAAGGTCACCGATGTCTTCGTCGTCGGATTGGCAGGGGACTATTGTGTCAAGTGCACGGCGATCGATGCGGCACGGGCCGGCTTCAGGAGCTGGGTGATCGAAGATGGGACGAAATTCGTTGATCCTGGAGAAGGCTGGGAAAAGACCAAGGCGGAATTTCGAGACTTTGGAGTCTCAGTCATCACGAGTGATAGTCCTGAAGTGGCTCGAGTGAAGGAGCGAGCATAGTAGTGATGCGATCAAGCAAAGAATCCATCTTTGTCGCCTGATGATCTCTTACTAGACTGATATCTGACGAGTAGAATAATACCAAGGACTTGCACTTTCACATGACAATAAATAGCTAGTTCTACAGGATTATCTAGATTGTGTTACCCAGATAAAATGCATCTATACCCCACTATGTGAATTAATTTTACGTATTACTGTATAATTATACCTTGAAAACCAAATTCAGAAAGAATCTAGAAAGGCTCCTCATTCAAGTTAGTGACAACTAGTTTGAAATTTCGAGCTAGACCGTATGTTAGATAGCAAAAGTAGAGAATTCCGTGCCTGCGAAGAGACCGTTGTATACCGTGCAGAAGGTGGGGTGCAGCCGCTAGCTATAAGCTTCGTGTGACGTATGACCAGCCCGAGCTCCCATGTCGAGGTCCTCCGGAGCATGACGCTAGACACTGCGGACGTACAGTACACAGATATGACGAACCTGCGTGGTCAATGCAATTGCGAAACCATCAGAAGCTATGGGTTTCTATTCTACAGTGTAAAGGTCTCTGTGCGAGATTTGAGAATTTGAGATTTTAAATCGAGGCGACTAGGCCAGGCGCAATGCCATGACGCGCGAATACAAGCGGTGAGTACGGGTAATAATAATCTAGTGGAGCACTGGACGCTCCCTGACGCTCCCCTTTTTTTATTAATATTACCTTCGGGTTCTGTCGTATGTGGCAATGTTTATGTCTGGCAGCTTAGGGAGAGTGGCCAATTTCAGAATGGATTTCTTGTGAGCTTCAAGAGAGCAGCCTCATCCATCCAGTCTCATCAGGTCCTTCCCGCCCCTGGATTCCAGCGCGTTTTTCCGTCGCCCATGCCAGCTGCGACACGTCGTATGGCAAACATCTCCTGTCTCTAATTAGGTGAATATACGACTGTGCTTCCTTTTCGATGATCGCTGGAGAGACGCTCCGTCATGGCGCATCACCTGGGCCCCTCTACATCCGCAGCAACCACTACCATCAATGAGAAGAAGCTGACCGACAACATCGACGCACGCATCGACAATACATCCTTAACTCCAATTTCTCATCCTCCAAGCCATACCGCCCATACAGAAACCGAGTCGCTCCCGTACTGGCTGGTCAATGTGCCACCGGGCGAACGGCCGACGACATGTCCGGAGTACCTGCGCGATCTGTCGCAAAAGAACATTCGAATCCTATCGACCCCTGACGCAGCATTCAAGAGACAGAGTTGGGAAACGGTGAAGGAGATAATCAGTTGAGTCTCCCGATCCATCAACAATTGGAGTAGCTGGGGCTGCGGGCTGACAGATGGGGGTGCAGGGACGAACCGGATCGACAAATTCCAGCGCGTTCCGTCGGACCTGCGAAAGTACCTCGAGTACATGTACCACATCAAACGGAAGTATGGGTCGGTGATGAACTTCGTCATCAGAGAGAGACTGCGCTGGGGCGAGGGGAGACCAGAAGACATCAAGCCACGAGGCCGGCCGTTCGAATATGCTGGTGGGTTGGCACTTGATGATGCAGGGATCTTCTAGAAGAAGGACTGGTTTGTTGACTGGTCGCATCACAGACGACTTGAAGATTCTCTACAACGACTGGCCGTACGGAGTCGAGAAGGGGATCGTCCATCTAGTGGTCTGGACCAAGTTCGAGCTGGACGAGGACCCTGCGACGGGCGACCTGACGGACGAGATGCGGAAGCAGATAAACGACTTTGTCCAGAAGACCTTCTGCTCGCGTGTTCCTCCTGAGCAGGTTAGTATTCCATTCAGCAACAAAATACCAAGTACGAGTTCTGATGGGTGGACAACAGGTCGTCTGGTTCAAGAACTGGAAGTCTCTCAAGTCGGTCCACGCGATCGAGCACTTCCATGTCATGCTCTACAAGCCCGACATGGAGTTTGTGAAGGAAGTTACGAATGGCGATGTTCCCCTGATTGAGACGATCTAATAATCTTTTCGCAAGCCATGGTGTTTCGGTGGGCATAGATATATATATACAGCGTCGCAAGCATTGGCTTCATGGGCATGGGTTCTTCCTACTTCGACTCACCATAATAGACCTAGATTATAGATTGGGATATATCCGTTTAATACCATCTTTTTCTCTTTTTTCTTCATGTGTGTGAGATTGTATTTCCCTTTTGTTCCTGCACCGCACTGTGCTGCACTGTCTTGGTTAGCATTAGAGTTTGTACCTTACAGAATCATTACCGATCCCCATATTCCATCCAGGCTCATCACGCAATCACCTCCATAATAGTATATACTGCTAATAATAATAACACTGGAAAATGAAGACATGCCAGACTCCATCTTGATCTCTTGGCGTAGAGAATCGAGCACGGGGCAGCAAGCCCCTCTGCCAAGCACGGTGTTTCCGGATTGACGGCGAGATCGACACGGCCTGCGAAGCCGGAGCGGGGAAAAGTGGCGGCACACGATCACGACGCACTCTGCCCTGGAGGACAATACGGCAGAGGCGCATAGAGAACAAGAGAAAAATGAAGGAGAATGCAGGCGCGTGCATCGCATGCATGTGTGACCTCTGCGCTGCGAGAAGTGCTATGAATAGTATATAGTAAGCAATCGGCGACGGGTCGGAGCAGCAGGGCTCCATGTACGTCGTCATAGCGCGCTGGGCTCGTCTCCCCAACGTCACCGCTGGGCCAGCCAGAATAAAAAATGTCGCCTGCCGCCGAGTCACCACACCCACTCCCCCAGCAATTGGTTTCTATGCCTGCAGTGCGTGGGGTCCTCCATCTGCCGGGACATCGATCGAGAGAGCCTGTTGACCCTCTCCGTTCGCCGTTCTCCTCCTCTGCTGTCTCCTTCCCCTCCTGCCTGCCTGCCTGATCGTCTGCGGTTTGCTTTTCCGCCTGCCCGACCACACTGGCCGCCGTCTCTCCCAGCCTGCCAGGCAGCCCCTGCGTAGACCGTGAACTGCTGGACCGCAGTCCAGCTGGACGTTCATGATCACTTGTGTCTTTCACCAGAGCACGCACGAAAGCCTTTCCTTCAGTCGTTAGCCGCCATGCATGTGCCGCACCTCCATAGCAACCGCCGCTCATCCCTGCAGAGTGAGTCCCTCAGGAAGTCCCACGAACGCCGACGACGTCATCTGTCCCGCTGCAGGAAGGGTGCCTGAGGTGAGAAATACGAGCCAAAGCAGTCGCTGATCGCTTTCTACCATTCTTGTAGGTAACAAGGACTCTGGCGACGAACAGAACAATTCGAGCCCCGAAGATGAGACCGTTGTCGAGCCGGAACAGGGCAATGGTAAGCGCCAACAACACCTCGCCGTGATCGCGGAGATGGCTCGTATGCTAAAAAGTGCCGGTTATCCCGTTACCAGTGCTCACCCACATCATCTCGCAGCTCCGTCCGGGAGCGGACTTGAGTCGAGTGACGCTGCCTACATTTATCCTCGAGCCCAGATCTATGCTGGAACGTATTACAAAGTGCGTTGAGTCGGAGAGATGGAGCGAAAAAGGATGCGATGCTGATACGCGGGGTTACTTTTAGTTTCATGGCGCATCCCGAGACGCTGCTGCCGATGCCTGAGATCGACGACCCGCTGGAACGATTTGTCTCGGTGGTTAGATTCTACCTGAGTGGTTGGCACATCAAGCCCCCGTATGTGTGACTCGCAGAAAGATTCCGGTGGATAGATAGGCAGTCCCGCTAATCAAGTATGCAGAGGGGTGAAGAAGCCCCTCAACCCGATCCTAGGAGAGACCTTCACTTGCTACTGGGATTATGCGGACGGCACGCGGGGTTATTACATTGCAGAGCAGACTTCCCATCACCCCCCAAAATCGAGCTACTTCTTCATGGCGCCCGAGCACCATATCCGGATAGACGGCACTCTGAAACCGCGAAGTCGGTTTTTGGGGAACTCTGCCGCCAGTATCATGGAAGGCGTTGCCATTCTGCGGTTATTGAACCGCGGTGGGGATAAGAAGGGCGAGAAATAGTGAGTAGGGGCTGTCTTCACTGACAGACGTGATGCTGACAGCGGCCAGCATCTTGACCCAACCAAACATGTATGCGCGTGGAATCCTCTTCGGAAAGATGAAATATGAGCTCGGAGACCACAGCTACATCCGGTGTCCGGAGAACAACTTGCTCGCGGATATAGAGTTTAAAACCAAGGGCTATTTTTCCGGCACGTATAACGCCATTGGAGGGACGATCAAGAACGAGAAGACGGGAGAAGTCCACTACGAGATCTCCGGTCTGTGGAATGGGGAAATGTATTTGAAGAATAGTCATGTAAGTTTGTTTTTCCGCTTGTCAGAACGCGACTAATCCGCTGCATCCAGACTGGGAAGAAAGAGCTGCTTTTCAACGCCACCAACGCGAAGCATACGCCACCTTCGACGCGGCCTCTGGAGGAGCAGTCAGAGCGGGAATCGCAGAAGCTGTGGTATAGCACGGTCCAGGCGCTCCATGCCAGGAACCACGACCTGGCGACGAGCGAAAAGACCAAGATCGAGGATCGACAACGAGACGAGGCGACAAAACGAGCTGATGAGGGTGTCGAATGGCATCCGCGGCTGTTCCGCCCGGTTCGAGGGGGTCCCGGTGGTTCGGAGGAAGGCGAGGAGGATCTCGACTGGATCATCAACGCTGAGATGTGAGCGATTCACCCTGCCCTATCTGGAATCTAGTTCTGACAGTTTCTAGTGACGGGAAGAATGCGGAGCTGGCCAATAAGCAGATCCTGTCTATTGCGCCGATCCTCCCGGGGCAACAGGTGTCGCATCAGTTTGATATTCCACCGTACTCACCATCCTCGAAATCAAAGTCACAAGGACAGTCTGGAGGCGACAATCTCATCGATTTTGGCGACGAGAATGCGGCTCCAGCACGGAGTGGAACCACGAATGCGGGCGGAGCTTCCCAGGATCTGCTTGGTGGAGACGAGAGCCAAGGGCCGGGACAGAACTCGTCCGGGTTGATGGCTCCGCTGGTACCGACGACCAGCCACACGAGTAAAAATCCGATGGAGAGGCTAGACTCGAAGAGCCCTGACGGGGATATTTTTGTAGACGCAGAAGAGAAGTGATCTCGAATCTCGAATCTCGAATCTTAATCCTAACCGATCTAGGGAAGTCTCATATGCTGCAAGCCCAGTGCTCCTGGGCCGCAGGTCAACGGCCTGGTCGCGAAGCAATGTGCGCGGAATATCGCAGCGTGATAATGATTGAAAGAGGGCCTTTATTTATTTGTTGTTTTCTTCTCTTCTCTTCATGTTTCTATCTAGAAAGGGAAAGGAAAAGGAAAGGAAAGAAAGAAAGAAAGAAAGTCAATAATGGCCAGGTTTATCATAAACAAGCAAGCAAGCAAGCAAGCAAGCGAATACCCATGAGAATCATATTTCATTTCATTCATTTCATATCATATCATATCATATATAATTTCTTTCATAAGAAAGGATAATTAAAGGAACAAACAAAAGGGTCTATACAGAAAAAGGTTTTGTCTGTTTAAAAAAGGAAAAGAATAATTAATATAAACTGGATTAATTGAAGCTTTTTTTTATTAATTATAGCTTTGTTTTTTTTTAATTGCTGCCTTCTGCATTTTCATCTTCATTTCTACCGTGAGTTGAGGAATTATTTTCTCTATAATCTGATCTATTCTAATCTAATGATTTTCATCTATCCAGTCTACCAGATGGATGGCTGTACGCATGTACTGTGCGTATGCATTGCAGCTAGCCTATGAACTTATATAATATAATTCTCATCGCCTACCTAAATGATGACAAAGATCAATCTTTTCTCTCTCCTCTTTTCTTTTTTTTTTGCCTTCTCTTTTCTTAATTGATACTACCCTTATTATTGACATTGACATTGACATTAATATCAGGAGAAGGGGGGAAAAAATTTTTTTACTAGTTGGTAATCCCTTTTTCTTTTCTTTTCTTTTCTTTTCTTTTCTTTTCTCTCTCTTTTTTTTTTGTTTTGTAGACTATTGCATGGCCCTGACGTTTTGTTTTTCTTTTATTTTTTTTTGGCTCATAGGATAAGTGAGATTACTTGTGTTGATTATTCTACCAGTCACTGTATGTATGTTCCTACAGGGGAAAAATAATGAATAAATTAGAAGGAAAAAGAAATGAAAAAAAAAAGGACAAAAATAAAATCCAACTATGTAATAATTGCAATTGCAAACCTCATTCCTATCGTATTAACTCCAGACACCGTCAACCAACGCCTCCGGCTCCAGTAGTCCTGAAGTAGTCCTAAACTATGGTATGTATGTATGTACATGAATTATCAGACGATAATGATAATAAATTTATAAATAAAAATACCCATTCCATGCCATGCCATGCCATGCTGTACAACGCCATATCATGCCATGCCGACTAATCACGCCAAAAACGAAATAAATAAAAGTCGAAGGAGGACGTGCATGCTACGTCGCTAATTCGCCTCTCGTGCCAAGTCCCCGTTCCAGTTCTCGTCGTCGGCTTCTTTCTGCTCGTGAAGAAGTTGGAACTCCGGCGCCGTCGCGGTCTTCGCGCTCCTGCTCCAGTAGCTCCCGCTCCTCTTCGATCTCCTTCTCCATGTCCTCCCGCAGGCCCAGAATGTCCGGCGGGATAAAACTCATCTGCACGCTGGGGGCCCCCTTCATGTACCGCAGCTGCTCCTTGACGGCCGCCACCACGCTGGCCAGGTACGCCTTGGAGTTCTTGTTCTCGATCCGGCGCATCTCCGACAGCGGCGGGAACAGGCTGTAGTCCGGGCCGAAGTGGTTGCGGAACGCGACCGTCTCGGGGATGTTGGGGTCGATCTTGTCGGCGGCGTCGATGAGGATGGACGTCTCGTGCGCCCAGGCTCGCGACACGTTGCGCGGCGTGTACCCACCCCCGCCAACCACCAGCAGCGGGATCCCAAATGTCTTGACGTACTCGACGCAGGAGCCGTGGCCCGTCACGTTCAGATTGAAGCAGCCCAGACGGTCGCATCCGAGGCTGTCGGCGCCGCACTGCAGGACAATCGCGCCTGGCCGGTAGGTCTCGACGCACGAGCCGACAACCTCCTTGAACAGCTGCAGATAGTCAGCGTCCTCGATACCGTCGTTCAGCGGCACGTTGATAGCGTGGTGGGCACCGGGGTTGAGCGGGTGCGCGGGTCCGGTGCTGTCGAGCGCGCCCGTGCCGGGGAAGAAATTGTCTTTGTCGTATTTGTGAAAGGACACGGTCAGCACCCGGTCCGTCGACCAGAAGGCCTGCTCCACGCCGTCGCCGTGATGGACGTCGATGTCGATGTACATGACCCGCGGGTGATGGCGCAGCAGCTGCAGGATGCCCAGGACGATGTCGTTCACGTAGCAGAACCCGCTGGCCTCGGCCTTTTTCGCGTGATGCAGACCACCGGACCAGTTGATGGCGATCTCGGACTGATTGTTGACGAGCTTGCGCGCAGCGTCGATGGTGCCCCCTGCGTAGAGAGAACAGTAGTTGTACAGGCCGTCGAAGATGGGACAGTCGTCGCCGATGTTGTAGCTAGCGATGCGGTCGCTCTGCTCGGGCGCCTCCATGTCGGCCGGGACGACCTGGCGCAGGAATTCCAGGTAGTCCTCCTTGTGGAACTCAGCCATCTCCTCGAACGTAGCGGCGCGGGTCAGGTACAGATCCATGGCGTAGTGCATGCCGTAGGCCATGACCAGCTGCTTGGTGAGGGTGAGGCGCCAGGGCTTCATGGGGTGCGACTGGCCGAAGTGGTGCGGCTCGACGGCCGGGTTGGCGTGCCAGGAGACCCGGTAGCCCTTGGGACGGGTGATGCCATTGTGAGCGCGCTCGTGGGCGGTTTTGCGGTCGACGGTGAAGGTGACGGAGCGCTGCGGCGGAGTGTATTCCTGGACGATCGAGGAGCGTGCCATCCGGGGGAAAAGATGGGACGGGAGAGATCACTGATGGGATTAGGCACTGCGCATGCCTTTGGGCTAGGATCAGGACCGGAATTGCAATCAGAACCGCGACAGACCGACGGAAGTCGACAAGAATGAAATCGTAATAATGAGGAGGAGAAGAGAAGAGAGTTCGGCAACCCGACCGCAGCGCTGCCTCGACTTCGGCCATCCCGTGGGGGAGCCGCTAAGCCGTTTTCGGATGTCACCAATCACGGGGTCGCCACGATGGCATTATTCTACAGCGTTCGAGTTTGATTTGATTTTGTTTCTGTTTTCCTTCTACTTTTTCTGTTATGTTATGCCTTTATTATTTGTTCCCTGCTCTTCCTTTTTGTGTGGATTTCACAGTAGTAAAAGAACAGCAGAGATGAAGCGACTCCAATCCGAACAGATATTTCATCTAACGCATAACGTAGCAAATCGAAGAAAGTAATTAGCACTGTACCCAGCCATAATTCTCATTCCGGATAACGGATTTTCTTTTCTTTTCTTTTTTTTTTTGGAAGAAAAAATTAAGAATAAAAAAAGCGCAAAACACTACCCATCCCCGAGGGGACGGGCGGCTAAATTGACCAGACTGGGCTTCGATCCCAGGACCTCATCGGATCAACCCGAACTCTGCTGAGCCCGCTGTTAACGATACGAGATAACCAACTACTCCATCCGGCCAATTATTGGCTGAGGAGCGACCCTTGGTGATTTATATGTGGCTACGGTGGGCAGGCTAATTCGGAGGCGACTGGTGGGGTGGGCGGTGGTGGCGTTAGGGTTTAGGGTTTAGGGTGCGGACTGTAGGGGTTGGGGACTGCCATGTGACATGTCAAGCTGGGATTCTGGTTCTGGATCGGCCCGGGACGTTCCTGCTGGAATGCATGGATTAAGTAATCATGGCATTAGTAAATAAATATCATAATAGCACAGCTTTTTCTAGATACGTTGCTACAATAATGCGTTGTTAGCAATGGGCAACCAGTCTACTGTAGGATGGTGTACAACGTATGTGAGGTTACGGAGTACTTGACTGGACTTAGGTATGCTCGTGCAGCAGCAGCTAGCTGGCAGGTTCCTCAGGCGAGATTACCTATGATGCGCGGCAGACAATCCTAAGTCCAAACTAGCCAGCTGCAAACAATATTAAATTTAATCTCTGGTGATGCAATCTCGATAAGAGATCGGCACTTCATTATCAGGAGCGTATCGTGGACCGTGGAATGTGGTGGGTTGGTAGCCACTGGCCCCGCCAACGAGGACAGCCAGGACCAGATCCCCCGTTCTTGTGACGAACCGATCGCTACGGGTTAGAGGGACTCTGGAGATATATCGATCGTCGTCAAGCTGGTCGAGAACGCTTCTAGACTGTCGTGGACTCGTAGTGGATCGGAGATGACTGATCATCGATGGCGACAATCACCAGATTCACCGTGCGCGCCGTGAAGATCGACGATGAATGCTGCACTTCAGAAGGTACCGCGGATACAAGCATCGATGAAGCATTCGGTGAAGGGTTTGGGGAATACCTCGATCAGGAATTGGTTATGCGTGATGACAGAAATCGTGGGCACCATCAGGCAGAGAAAACGGTGACGAGGTCGACGTCAGCAAAATACCGATCGGCGATGCGATCGGAATGCTGTGAAGAGTCTGTTCCACTGCCACGTGGCGACCAGGCTGGACAAGTCACAAACGACAGCATTTCATAATATTGACGGCAACATCTGGCAGCAGCATCTCATCTCATGCAGTCAAAAAGGCATCACACATTAGATTGATCTACGGGAGCGGATAAATTGTCTGGTCGGACTTAGGGGCTTGGCTTGGCAAGTAGCGACTGTGCGAGGGGAGTAGAGGTCACACTGAGGTCTACTTGAGGATTGGATAGAATAATTTCCTTGGATTATTACACAACAGGAATCGATGGAAATTGGCCAGGAGTGCGCAGCGATACGCCCACTGCCACGACAGTCGGCAAATGATCCATCGCACTATCCGCGGCGGCCACGTCGCTCCAGTGGTACGAGTACAGAAGTACTCCGTACGGAGTATGGAGTACAGAGACTAGAGTTCAGAGATGGAAGGTCTGCAGACCGCTTCTCAGACACAGGGAGCAGAGACTCCCAATAGTCAGCACAAGAATAGCAAGGTGACTGCGCTTGCTGAGACATGGACTGGGCGACTGATTTTTGGCATCAGGACGAGTATTGCTGTGGGCGCCCCGGCGGAAAAAGAAGCCAACGGAGAAGCCGAGGTGGGGCGGGCGCAGCCAGTGGAAGCCCGCAGCGGCGCCAAGGTTTTGCCGGGGCAGCGCTAGGCCAGGAACACACGCAAGCCCGGTCGCGCCTGCCGCTAGTGTCGCAGGCGCCCCTGCCCAGCCCGCTGCAGGGCGCTGACTGGCAGAAGTGGCAGGAGCCCCTGGCCGCCGTCCAGGGTCGAGACTGCCTCGCATGGGCCCGTGCCTGCCCTGCGAAATGAAAAGCCCTCACCGCGCGCCTTTATCATCCCCGGCCGGCCCCATCCTATTCCTGCCTCGCCTTCTCTCCCTCCTCGTCTTGCTTTGTCGCTGTCTGTCGCCCAGGGTACTGCGTTCGTTCTCTCGTTTCTTTGTGAGCCCGCTGCTCACTGTCGCTCTTTGACTCTCCACGCTCCTTATATCCTCGTGCCGTTCCTGGGTTTCTTGACCAAATCACTGCCAACGCTCCACCACCACCACCATGCAGCTGAAGAACTCGCTTGTCCTCCTCACGGCCCTCACTGCCGGCAGCGCCGTTGCGCGCCTCCACGGCCACGAGCGCCGCCACCAGCACCACCAGCGCAACGTCGAGGAGCGCGGTGTCGGTGACGTCGTCACGGCCACCATCGACGGCCAGGTCGTCTCGTGGATCAACGAGTGGTCTGGCGTTGCTCCGACCGCCGCCGCTGAGGCCTCGTCTTCTTCCTCCGCTCCTGCTGAGAGCTCTGCCATCCCGACTGCCTCTGCGACTTCCTCTTCCTCGTCTGGCACTGCCACCGGCTTTGGTGCTCGTACCTCGCCCCACGGCTCCGGTATCAACTACGTCGGCAACGTCGGCAACCCCTGGGGCAGCAACATCATCCAGATCTCCGAGAATGAGGTCAGCAAGTACAAGTACACCCTCAAGTTCCTCGGCGATTCCATCACGGAGCCCTGGACCGTGGTTTTCTGGAACAAGATCGGCCCGGATGGCAAGTTGGATGGCTGGTACGGCTACTCGGCCCTGCAGTTCCAGATCAATCCCGGTGAGACCAAGTACGTCGCCTGCGATGAGGACACCCAGGGTGCTTTCGGTGCTGCTCCGGGCAACACCCTGCCCAAGGATGCCGACGGTGGCTGGGCCTCGTCCTGGGGTGAGTTTGACTTTGGCAACAGCCAGAACGGCGGCTGGTCTGGCTTCGACGTTTCTGTCATTCAGGCTCAGAACGCTGGCCTGCCCATCCAGGGCCTGAAGATCTGTGATGCTGCCAACGAAAACACCTGCTCCTCCATTGCCTCCAGGCTCTCCAACGTCGTCAACGCCTACACCAACAAGGAGGCTGCCGAAGGCGGCATTGGTGGCAACATCCCTCCGGGCCCGCTGGCCCTCAACGTCTACCTCAACTACCACTAAACTAGTTGAGGAGGCGAGCGGAGAGACCATGTGATCTTTTGTTTTTCATTTCTGCGCGCATAGATACCAGACCCGAATCTCAGCCACCGTTCAATTGGGTTCCTTCCAGTACATTTTTTCCCCCTTTTCGGACATGAATATTTGCATTCCTTCTCCTTGTACATATTACGACATGTTTCTGTCTGACAATCAATTTCTTTCCATTCCGCCAGTGTACTCGGTGTGATCGTCCTGGGTGCGCTCAGAAACTGTGTGTAATACCGTACAGGGAGTGTCTTTTTTATCTTTCATTTTGTCAGTCCATATACAGAGTACATAATAGTTGTTCCTTGGCACAGTTGTACAGTACAGTATATTAATCAGTGTGTTCTTGTATCACTCCGTGCCAGGTTTGATGTAGGACGGATTGTAAATATTTCTTGTTGTGTAGGAGTAAATTAATCAAGACTACTGCATTGTAACGTATCCCTAGAAGGGGTTTTCGTTAACCTCGCCCCTTGGATGCAAGTTGTGCATCCTGGCTTCTGTCCTGTAAGGAGTATCAACCTCCCCGCGTTTCACATGAAGTTCTACTCTTGGAACTCGCGACACTCGGCGCTCCATACCTTACTGTAGAAGTCAGCCAATGAATTGGATATTGTTTCTGCTCCGGCTTTCTTTACTGTATCCCCGTAGACAGGAATGAATGACCAGAATAACGAATTACATGACTTAATTCTGTAATTAGAATTAGGTTACTATCCCTTTTCAACGCGCTGGAAGAAAGGGTGATAGTTGATACTGTACTGTACAAACACTACTACTAAGAATAATACTACAAAGAAACAAACGCAGACATCTTCCATGGGACCGTTCGAAGTCCTGAAACCTAAATCTGAACTTAAACCTAAATTTCCGATGAAATTAACTTCCATGGTAACAAACGGAAAGAGAACTGGTCTGTGAATCTGTCCATATTAAAAAAAAAAAGAGTGGAATGGAATGGATTTTTCTTTGTTATGGTTATGTCTTTGTTCTATCTCTGCTTTGTTTCATTTGAACTATAAATAGATAAATAACTATAGTCAGACAGTATGTCAACCAGCTTATAGACAAAGTATATACTGTACATCCAGAGTGCCTTCGCATTTGCTTCCAGTACTCCGTAAAGCTGACTGGCCAACATCCATATTGCAGAGTACCTACTACAGAGTAGGATGGAAGGGAAGGGAGAGTTACCAAAAACGGTATAGTCCGATGCCCTAAGTCAGTCGATCTTTTGGGAAGGTGCGACAGAGGTGTAGACATCATTGCCGGCAGTCACTACTGCCCGTGCAAGTGAAGATTGGCTGGAATTCTAGTGACTGCCTGATTTCTTCAATTCGCCCCTCTTCACCGATAATCTAGATCCTTGAAAGTGACATTGGCAGGCCTTACTTGGGTAGAAGCAGATTCACTAAGAAGCGAAATTGGCGCCATGGGCATCCTTTTTAGCTAAATTTGCAATATATATTTCTTTCTTGAGATTACCATCTCCATCTATCTACATTACTCCAATACGAACCGCTCACACGAGAGTGCCACCAGGCAATCATCAAGCCGCGAGCTGAGAAGCAGAGACTCGACAGAAGAGCGCAATTATCTCCACAGCAACTACATATTCGATAGAAGCAGGAGTACTTTTGATGATGCCGTTGTGACTTATGAAAATATTCCTCCTTGACTGGCTCCCTTGCTGGTTATGGGAAGATCCACCAGGGGAAAGAAGTCGTCCGCGGTGAGTTTCTCATAGTCTTTCAAGTATGTACTGTACGTCTACTAAGTTCCCTTCTCGATATTAAGATCCATTATAAGTCTCCCACAAGCTTACAAATCGTGATAATCCTCACAGAAGTTCATAATAGCCATCAAGATGGGTTCAGAACCCAGTTAACGCGCAACTTTCCTTATCTCGAATGAATGAGATGTACTATGTATGAGTGTTGGAACTTGTGGGTACTGTACTATCCTCTTAAACCCTCTTCATTAGGCTTCTTTACTAAATTTGGAAGGTTTAGGGAATTTCCAACTGCCATACGCAGCGTCTTCGAAAGACCCAACGGTTGCAGCTGAAGCCGGATGGTCTGAACTTACTCAGACGAACGCACAGTCCATAACATGAACATGCAACTCGCAGATCTTTCTGCGCAGGTCATATCGAACGATCACAACGCTAATAACCAACTGGAGCAACTACGCAAACACAACGTCGATGTTGATAACCAACTGGAGGAACTACGTGAGCGCATGGATTTTGTGGATTTTCTAACCTGCCTTGTGCTTTGAATGTCACTATATAGATTCACTAACTCATTGAGATAGGTAATTTCCCTGTCCCCGCAGCAGCGCCATAACATATACTTCTTGCGGGCAGCTCTTTGGCAACGCCATCCTGTCAGGCGAAACCAGAACGATACGTTCCACTTCGCCCTTGACGATTTCGTTGAATAGCAACCAGGTGCGTTCAGAAAATGGGTTTAACACCAGCATGAACGGCAAGCGGACATCCTTTTATTCCAAAAAAGGTCTTCTGTATCTGGCTGATTATCATCGCCTTCATTACTCTTGGCTAGATAGATGCTAGCTTCATAACTAAATTGCGAACTCGAAATCTCGACACCTGCGCTACCGTCCAATCTCGTGACTATGGGCTTCAAGACATGCCACTTATTGATGTGCAACACCAAGAAGCAGCGCCTGGAACTTCGACATGACGAAAGCCAATGAGAAGTGGATTCGTGAGCTGTTCAGAGAGTCGTTGGACTACAGCAGTGCACCCCTTGAGAGCACCGATTAATAAATACACGACATTTGCTTTACTGGAGGATGAGCTGATTGATGAACAGCGTGCCTCACCGACAAGGAGCCAGGGACATGAAAGGGATCTGCGGGTTGAAACAGGCAGGCCCCGGAAGAAGTCTTTTTTTTTTCCTTTTAGAAGAACGCTTCGTTTACCATTTTCTCTTTCAAAAAGAAAAAAAGAATTCCGCCTGGTTGGCTTTGGCCGAAACCAGACTGGCCTGGGGGATCCTCGCGGTCATCATTGCGCTCGGATTTCTTTTTTCTCGGGCTGGCGAGCTTTGGATGGCCCACATGTGTGTATCACATGCGAGACTGAAGAAACAAAAACAACTGACTATGCTTCAGGTGGCCCCCAAATGCTCCATCTTCCCCGGCTCTCCCTGTGAATATCTACGCGAGCAAAAAAAGGTGCAGATGGGGTTTGAGAAGTGGATTCAGACGCAGCCATCGATTTCTAATATGTACAGCTTTATTCTGAATTCTGATTCAAATCAGATATTCTGCGAAGGCTATAAAGTGGACACAGATAAGGCGCCAGTGTATCGACTTCGATGAATGCCACGTAAGCATACAAGCAGGGAAAGTTCAGCGCTGTCCTAGGACAATATGGGCTAACAAGATTATAGCAACCATGGTGGAGAGAAGCTTCAGCAGTAAGAATCCAATTAGAAGCATGAGTCTGAGCAGCGATTGATCGATGATGTTGCATTAAGATTGAAGTTTTTTTTTTTGCCCCGACTGCGCTACACATCTCCCACCTGTGCGACCAGCGGCGTTGTTTCAATCCAGATCACCTCGTCGCAGAAAGCGTCCAAGTGAACAACTTACGGAAGGGGTGCCCGGGCCCGATCGTGTGCTCAGTCCATGGACACATGATCGTGGACCTTTGCGTCCACCGCCCGCGATGCATCCGGCCACCACGGGACGATGTGCAATGCTGTCTCGCCCTGAAAGAAAGCGACCCGGTGGGCTGGGTTTGCCCCGACTCCGGGGATGAGAGGTTGGCGGTTGCTACCTGGAGTAAAGGTATGAAATCTAAACTCTGAATCATGGAATCTAAGCTTAATTCTTTGATCAAGCAACTAACTCATACTGTAGAGTGTTTGAGTTTTCATGTTTTTCTTTCTTTTTGCTTTTTTTATTATAAAAAAAAGATCGGTCGGGTGTACAACTACGATTCGTGATACAGTGGACTGACTGGATCGAGGTGAAAGGCATCGAGGTCGATGGGTATAATGCCGTTGACGAGTATTCATGGTATCCTGTCGACTAGAACAGCCGTCGAGAATTCTTCTATGTACTCTGCAAGGGAAGGGTATGTATGTCGATAGAAGGAATTTCATTTCATTTCTCTTTTCTTCAGGCGGATGGATTCTTACTTGTCTGTCTTCCTTCCTTTTATTTTCTCCACAAACACCGCAGCGATATCCAAGATCTTGCCATCATATCCCATCCCGCCCAAAAAGGTCACTCCGAACGGTAAGCCAGTCTCCTCAATCCACCCCGCATTGACACTCACGCCGCACAGGTCCAGGACATTGGCGGCATGAGTAAACGTCCCGAGCGTGGAATTCAGGCCCAACGGATCCCTCTCCATCTCCTGCATCGTGGGATGACACGGCGCCGTCGGCACCAGCAAGACGTCGATGCTGCCCCCGGCCAGCGGGTCGAAGATCCGCTGTACTTGCCTCGTGTACCGTCTCTGGAGGTCCTGGTCACGAAAGACGGTCCAGGGCTCGATCTTCCTGTACAAAGCGGCTTGAAACAGCGCCCGCGTGGTCGGATGGAGGGCGTCCAAGTTTGCTAACAGGAACTCGCTGCCGATCGACGCGATGCGCTCGTACAGCAGAGACGCGTTGTACAGCAGCTCGCCCGCAGCCTGCACCGGCGTATAGTCGATTTTGACCAGGCTCCCGCCGCACGAGCGGAGCAGTTGGACGGACCGCGCAAACTGCTCTTGATACGGCTTCGAGCAGGTCTCCAACACGGACGGCGGCGGGATGGCGAACTTGAAGCCTCCCGTCCGTGGACCGCGGAAGTCGATGTGCCATGTCGGCAGGGAGGAAGGGACCTTGGCATACGGATCGTGGGGGTCGTGCTGGTCCAGAATGAGCCACACCGTTCGAGCGTCGGAGAGCGTGGGCGCCGTGATGGAGATCGTGTCTAGGCTTTTGCAGGCGGGCACCACGCCGCGAGCTGATATCGTTCCTTTGGTCGGTTTCAGGCCCACGACGCCGTTGAACGCAGCGGGAATCCGGCCGCTGCCGGCGGTGTCAGTACCCAAGGCGAACGACACCAAGCCTGCAGCGACAGCGACAGCCGATCCAGACGACGACCCGCCGGCGATGTGGTCTTTGCTGTACACACACCGTGGTGCGCCGTACGGGGAGCGACAGCCCGAGAGGCCCGTTGCGAGCTGGTCCATGTTGAGTTTTCCGATATACAGCGCCCCGGCTTCGAGAAGCAGCTGCACCGCAAACGCGTGCGACTGGGCCACATAGGCGTATTTCTCACAGGCTGCCGTCGTCCGGATCCCTTGCACGTCGATGTTGTCTTTTACACCGAACGGGATCCCAAAGAGCGGCGGCAATGCCTGCCCAGCGTACTTGGCCGACAGGGCTTGGGCTGCTGCAACACAGTCTTCTCGAGGCCTGGTCGATACCCAGACTGCTGGATCGGTCTTCTGGTATTCTTCTATCCGGTCGAAGACGAGGTTGACGATTCGTACGGGATCCTCCAGACCGGATTGATAGCGTTGGCGTAACTCTTGGATCGAGGGCAAATACGATTCTGCCGTGGTAGGAGGGGTCGCCGGAGGAGTATTGGCTTGATCGCTGAACGACAGCAAGTCTGAACTCTGGCCAACATAGCCAAAGAGGCCGTCTTGCCCGCAGATGGTGTCCATCGCGGTTTGGACCATCTGCGCATCGAAGCCGGCGGTGCAGTCGGTGAGAAGACAGCATTCGTAGCCTCGATCGTTACACTCGCGCAGGGTGGTTGTGACGCAGCATCTGGGCATGTCAGTTGAGCACTATATTGAAAAGAATCGACCTTACTCCGTCGTCACCCCCGTCACCAGGAGATGGGTAATGCCTCTCGCGAGTAGGGCTCGATGGAACCCCGTGCCCCAGAAGCTGCCCTTGCCGGGCTTGTCGATGACCAGCTCGCCGGGCCGCGGCGTCAACTCGTCAATGATATCGTGGCCGTATTCGCCGCGGATCAGCAACCGGCCCATCGGACCGCGATCGCCAATGCCCATCGTGTGATGACCATCCGGGGCGCTGATCTGCCGGAGTCGCTTCGCCGCTGGCAAATCGGCCAGGTCTGGCTGGTGGCCTTCGCGCGTGTGAATCACCTGGAGCCCC